TCCAAGACCTCTTCCTGTTACTCAATTTGGCTGTGTGTAACCAAACTAGAAGTGCTCTACAAATCAAGGGACCCAGAATGTGGAATGACCTCCCGAATCATGTCAAAGGCTGTACCTCTCTCAACCAGTTTAAGTTAAACCAAGTACTGCCTAATTAACTCCATGTAACCTAACTTACCTTTTAAATGTCAACCCATGTCTTGCTAATTTTTAAACAACGCTGTTCACCAACATGTGCAATTGCTGATTTATGCTATGTTAACCCCCTTTTTGTATTTTTTATTCCTTCTTTCAACACAAATTATACCTAATCCCGATTACTATTAAGTTTTAGTCTGTGTTTTTTTCCCCCACACCTTGCCCGAAATGCTATGAGTATTAGTGGCTTTAGGTATTGTATCTACTAGCTCTGCCTATAAATCCAACATTATGTTTGTAAATCAACTGTATGTACTTTTCCTGAATAAAATGTATTTATTATTTATTTTTTAATCAGTAAGTATTAAAAGAAGGCACCAAGCTGGGAAGGCTATGTAGCACCATTGTGTGTAACAATAAACCAAATTTTTTTTAACAAATAATGCACCTGTATGGGAAAACAAATCCTGTCAGCTGTAAAAATATTGATGCAGTTATTTAAATGAAAAATATAATGAAAGAAATATTACTGGTTTATTTTTATCCTATCTTTTTGTACTGTACAGTATATCCAAGGAAGTGAAAAATTGAGACATAATGCACAATTTAATGATTAGCATGGATTAGCAGTTCAAAAGAAATATGACTTGTATTACATATCAACATGAGATCTTAATGATCCATGGTCAACATGATTTAATAAGGATAATACAGTACTGTATTTGTAATAATACAAACTATAATTTAAAATCTTTATTACTGATTTTTTTTATTAAGAAGATTAGGTATACACAGCAATGTGCTGCTACCCTATTCTATATGGAATATTACACAGTGTAGATAAAAAACTAGCTATAAGTTTATCTAATACTCCCATCTCACAGGATGGTTAGACATACTGTACATGGAATCAATTTAGAAAATACCAGCCTCAATACAAAAAACAAATCAACTCTGACTAAACAACTCTAAGCAATTTTCACAAGAGGTAAGCACTGAATCATGGAAACATTATATTATAATTACTCTTACCAGTTTCTACAAAACTCCTCTCAAACAATGTATTTTTAAACATGTTTAGGTATATACAGCAATGTGCTGCTTCCCTATTCTGTATAAAGGACCACACAGTGTAGATCAAAAACCAGCTACAAGCTCACCCAACATCCTCACCTCACAGGATGGCCAGTCATACATGGAATTAGGAGAGAACAAAATACTTAATGCTGATCTATTAGCCTCCACTGGCAAAATCTGGGTGCAGCACAAGAATATCTTCCAATATTCCTGAGTGTATGAAGTAATTACAGAGCTCAAAATACCTCATACCATTTGGTATGAAGTCACTGATAACAGGACAATCACAGATATAGTGTTGGAGAGTATGTTCTCTCAAGTAGGACTGAAAACAGATGTTTTTTTTCCACCAAGAGGACTATAAACCCATGGAACCGCCTACCCGCTGAAGCCGTAAATGCCACATTCCAGCTAAAAAATATCATCAAGACAATTGGCAGGCCCTTTAACAAGCCGCCGGCTTTCTGTCCTCTTCGAGGTCACTAGATAGTTAGTGGCCCTTGGGTAAATTCAGTAAATATATACAATAATTGTCAGCGCATCTTCCGAGCAACAAGGACAGCTACACAGTATCTCTTAGAATTACGTAGGTAAACAACAAATGTAACATACTATTTGTTTACTACAATGTCAGTGCTGGCTGTAGAAGTTGAAAAAACATTGTTTTACTTCGAAATATACTAATTTTATAAGAAAATTCGACGTAAATAGGAGGCAGTAGAGCTCCGATAAGCCAGCGCTAAATCTTTAATATGAAGAATGTTGCTGCTCTCTGATTGGCCAAACGAAACACAGTAGTGACCTCTATCGGCACGCAGGTGAACCAACAATTTTCTTCCTAAGTATACCTTATTGAATCGCACCTAAGCATCTTCTTAGGGCGCACTTAGGAACCTTCGTAGCAAACCCACTTACGAAGAAATACACAGAGCTTCCTGAATCTAGGTCCTGGTCTCTGGCCAGGTTCCTTCTCTTTTCCCTCTTCTGCTCATTTTACTGTGCATTTCTTCAATCTCGGACTGTTTTTGGTGGCTTTTTGTTCACTGGGCCTTGTGGGCATTTTGTTTGATTGTAACTGGCTCCTGTTTTTCTGGCGAGGAAGGTGTCGGTTGGCTTCCGTAGGGGTCCTTTGTTTATGGATGATTGTTTGGTTCGACTGGGGTTGCCTAGCTCACTCTATCCGGTGATGGTTTTATGCCACTACCTTCGTGCTGCCGGTTCTGCTTCGGTGGGCACCTGTTGGTGGTTTCGGTTTCCCTGGTTCCCTGTTCTAAGGCTTGTGTGTATCAGGTCATTTGTAGTGTTCTTCAGTCTAGCCAGCCTGCGGTCTTCTCTCAGGCTCTTGCTGTTTATGTTGGCCACTGATGGCCGTTTTCGCTCATCTTGGGGTATTATTCAGGCACGAGGGTTTTGTTGGGTGCCTGGGGTCATGGTGGACTGTTATCTTGCCACAGTCCCTTGTGTTGCATTTTGGCATGTCACGGCCACCTGTTTCTCTTTCAAGTTGGTACCAGTGGTGTTTCTGCCTCACTGGTAAGTCCCCTGGTTTTTTCCTTTCTCTAGTGGCAATTAGCTTCAGGGAGTCAACAAGGCTCCCCACAGAAAACCAGCATTGAATGTAATGAGACATCAGTTTCTGGGAAAGCCCCAGAGGCTCCCTGACACCTTCCCTCCCTCAGATTAGTGGCTGCTGCTTATTCAAGAACTGACCTGCTTCTCCTCCTCCCACAAGGGAGGAGGTGGCACTAACTAGCAGGGGTCTGGTTGGATAAAGTTTTGGTTGTTTTTCTTATTTGGGGATTCTGTTGACATTTTGAGGGCTCTGGTCTCAATTTTTAACCATACAATAGTCTGTTTTGATTCACTTACCTTTCTGGGTACTTCCCTGGTCGACAGCAAGATGATAAATGTTACATTTAAAGTGTTCATGAGCCATTGCTCTCTGCGCCTCTGCAAGGGGGCTGGGTTCTGGCTAGTGGTCCCCAATAGGCAAACAAGAACTCTGTAACAGATGACTTCAAGTAGTATGGCACTTAATCAGTAAGCTACCTTCAGGGAGCTGATGGGGCTCCCCTCTGTAAAAAGTCTTAGGTATATTATTTCCCCCAAAAACATTTGTTATAAATGTTGACTTTTGGGGATCAGTAATATAGCTTCCATTTGCAGCATTACATTAGTTGGGTGTTATGAACAGCTAACTCAAAACACTTTTTCAGAAAATATCCCACTCAAAATCTGGGGCCGGCCTGTACTGTATGTACACTAATTATTAATTGCCCAATCAATTTTTTTGTAAATTGAAAGGATTCCTTGTGGTGATTCCGAGGATCAATGCTCCCATGGCTCGGTCTCTGACCAGAGATGATGATGAAGGCAGTGAAGAGATTTGGCAGACATGTTGAGTGGATGATAAGCGAGGATTGAGTTTGAAACAAAGCACCAAATATGGTAACGGACAAGGCTTGAGTATAAGGGGCTTTCAAGAAGGTAAATGAATGTATCTGCTTGTTCTATAACAGTAGATAAGAAGCACTGTACACCTGTTCCTACCAAGTGGCAGTGCTGCTATGGTTAACTGCTAGTGTGTAATTACATAAGTGTACTCGCCTAGTTGTGCTTGTGGGGGTTGAGCTCTGGCTTTTTGGTCCCGCCTCTCAACCGTCAATCAACAGGTGTACAGGTTCCCGAGCCTATTGGGCTCTATCATAGCTACACTTGAAACTGTGTATGGAGTCAGCCTCCACCACATCACGCATTCCATTTGTCAACCACTCTGACACTAAAAAAGTTCTTTCTAATATCTCTGTGGCTCATTTGGGCACTCGGTTTCCACCTGTGTCCCCTAGTGTGTGTGCCCCTTGTGTTAAATAGCCTGTCTTTATCTATCCTGTCGATTCCCTTGAGAATCTTGAATGTGGTGATCATGTCCCCCCTAACTCTTCTGTCTTCCAACAAAGTGAGGTTTAATTCACGTAGTCTCTCCTCGTAGCTCATACCTCTCAGCTCGGGTACTAGTCTGGTGGCAAACCTTTGAACCTTTTCCAGTTTAGTCTTATGCTTGACTAGATATGGACTCCATGCTGGAGCCGCATACTCCAGGATTGGTCTGACATATGTGGTATATAATGTTCTGACAGATTCCTTACACAAGTTTGTAAAGGCCGTTCTTATGTTAGCCAACCTGGCATATGCTGCTGATGTTATCCTCTTGATATGAGCTTCAGGGGACAGGTCTGGCGTGATATCAACCCCCAGGTCTCTCTCTCTCTCTCTCTGACTCTTGAAGTATTCACCTAGTTGTGCTTGCGGGGGTTGAGCTCAGCTCTTTCGTCCCACCTTTTAACTGTCAATCAACTGTTACTTTTTTTTCACCCCCCCCCCAGGAAGCAGCCCATAACAGCTGTCTAACTCCCAGGTATTTATTTACTGCTAGGTAACAGGGGCATCAGGGTGAAAGAAACTGCTCATTTGGCTCTGCTGAGGCTGGGAATCGAACCCAGGCCACAGGATTACGAGTCCCGCGCGCTGTCCACTCAGCTACCAGACTCCCCACATGTGTGGTGGTGTTTGTTTATCAATAATGCTACACATAAGTACCGTCAAGTTAATGACATAATGAAAGGCCGAGTGATTCGTTTGTTTGTAAAAATCTATAGCCATTGGTATTATTCCCATTTTTCAGTGGGCCGATACAGCCGCACCCCCCAAAAATATGGAGCAATGTTATAATAATAACGAATAATAATAATAGTAAATGAATGAATAAAAGGTTGAATAAAAACTGATTTTTAATGGTAATAAATTTATGTCTTAATGCTAGATGGTTCCATACAAAACAATTTAAATTCTGACAAAAAAAGGTTTAGGGATTTGCAATTCACTGTCATATTTGATAACTTATGCAGTGTAAATAATGCAGTATTTACCTTCCAAACTTAAATATTCCACTTCCACGACACAGAGAATCTACTTTTATAATCAATGCATAATGCACAGAACCTAGTCCTGTTACAATGTGCAATGCACACAATCTACTCCATTTTTTTTTTCAAAATCAATGTGCCACCATTTTAATGTACCAGTTAGTCTTTTTTTGTTGATACTGTTTGTAACAACTGGCCATATGTTAAGACTTAATTGATATCATTACATCACAAATGCTATACCAATATACATAAACAAATGCTTGTTGTATATTCCAAATTCAGAGTCTCCAGTTCTTCCGTAAAGATGACAAAGCAACCGATTTTAGTCGACATGCCCACAGTGATGCGTATGAATTGTCATTAGAGGTCACTCGGCTGAAATGTCTATCTCATCTGGTCAAGAGTACCTCATCTTGGGGTACCACTGCTGGGTTCCCCCAAGTAGACAATAGAGGTGATACCATCAGGGACTGGTTCGGTGAACCAGGTGTGGATATCCGCCTAACTCATGTTATGTACAAGAGATGCCAAACTAGCTTAAGAATGCGGATTTTGTGTATAAATAGTTATTTCACTTACCTAGAAATACTGTTATCATGTACCTGTAATAAAAGATGAATGCCAATTAAAAATTGTCTGTTGATAAAGGTAATTCAATATACAAATTATTTCCCAGAACATGCAATACTTCAGCTAGCTAAACTCGAGTTGAAATATATCATCCATCTGAATCTATAATGTCAAAGCTTTCGGTTTCACTAGTAGGGGGCAAGGGACATGTGGGTGGGGAGCAAGTGGGTGGGGGAGAGACGAGGGAGGCATGAGGGAGAGAAGGAGACATGAGGGAGAGAAGGAGACATGAGAGAGAGGGAGAGAAGAGGGCGGCAGGAGAGAGGGAGAGAAGGAGGGGGGGGGGGGATCAAGAATTTGAGGTAGTGGGGAAGGAAGGGGAACTATCTTGGGCACTGCTGGATACCTCCTTCTAGAATTATAAATAATGTGATATTAACTATTTGGAACTATGAGAGATGTCATATTGTATGATGATGTTTGTCCTCCGGAGTCGAAGATAACCATGACTTCAATATATCAAGTCGAAGGTCGGTAGCTGTGTGTCAGATGATGCAGAATGATTGTGGTGACATCATAATGACATCAGAGAAATGTCATTTTGTATACAGATTAAACAGTTACCAGGTAATGCACATTTTACAAAAGGATGTGAAACCCACGTATAGGGTAGCATCAACAATACTCTACAGTATCACAAATATTAGCAATACATGAGCAATGATCAGAGTGTACTGAGAACAGTACACACACCGTTGGAATGATCATCAAATATTAACACAGTACATATTTAGGTAGTACCAGTACAAATGACTGACAAAGTTAATTCAGTTATGTTTCATTTTCAACTGGTGTAACATTTTACTTAAATGATAACAGATCCCAGGCCGATGATCAAATGTTTCACATCTTACAGGATATTAAGTACTATACAATCAATCTAGTAAACCATAGTAGATGAGAGAGCTGTACTGTACCGTATCACTAATAACTTAAATCATTACCCATACATTCCAACCCTTATACCTTGAGATTTCTATCTGTTTGGTTCTAAAAAGAAGAACATTGTTGAGAACAATGATAGATTTTATTTAAAAAAATGGTATTTAACATCCATTGTACCTACAAATCTTAAAGGCTCAAGGAGAGTTGAATCCCATCTTAAGAAATGTTTACCTCTCATACATGTTGAATACTGTAGTTGCTACTGGTCTGCAGGAAGATAGGTAGCGTGCCCCCATTCCCTCTCTCTCTATATATATATATCTCTCTCTCTCTATATATCTGTGTGTGTGTGTGGGGAAGGGGGGGGGACAGGTCTTAAGAATGCTGTAGCAAGCACTGACATTACCTTCCACACTTACCTAAAATTTACTATGTTGGCAATTTTGTTCTTTTCCGAGCAATTGCATCTTCAACCGCACGAAGCTGTTTCAAAAGTTCTTCTCTGCGATTTGCTTGTGGTTTCTTTACTGGTTGCGATATAGTAACCACAGCAGGAGGGCTTCTGGCTACCATCTGTTGGATGATAGGCAACTAGATATGGTTCGCTGTCACATTCCCCAATCAAAATTTATGAAACATTCTTAAAAATAGCAATGTTCAATATCCCCTCCGTGTCTCTACACATGTTGTATAATACCAGCAATACGTATATATGTGCAAAATTATATGCAATATGTAAAATATATTTATATTTTCATATACTGTAGTATTATACAAACAATGTGTGTTTTACTGTTAAATACTACCAGAATACTAAAGCACATACCATACAGGTACATACTACAAGTAAATCATCATACATACAGAACTCCATAAACACTACTGTACATGTGTATTTACACATACTATGTAGTGCTGCACTTACCTTTGGTGGTGGTGGGTCGGGCGGCGGGCTTTCAGGCTTACGTTTGCGAATAAGTTTACCTCCAGTGTCCGATTCACCACCTGAAAATGTAATTGCCAAATTAATATTTAGTAATACTGCATATAGAATTTAAAATAACATTTATTGCATATTTGTTTCATTTAATTCAAAATGCAGTATTGTTACAGTAATTTCACTTTCTTCAGATCTTTTAGAAGTATTATTAATACAACGATTTGCGTGTCCTATTAATACTAATTATTAGCAATAATAATTGTCCTAATCTGTCGCTGATTTCCAGTACAGTATCACGAACCTTAATCTGACATATTGTTCAGTTTCAACTGTCTCAAACTTAAGCAAACTTGTTCCAATACTCACTATCATCCTCTTGCGGTAGTACAGGTTTGTCCAGGCGCTTAAGAGCTGGTCCTTTGAGAGTTAACTTGATTTGTTGTTTCTGGCCAGAAAGCTGCAAGGTAAATCATTTCATTATTTAACGTACTAGTAGATGCAGCATGGGTACATCAATGTTAATTACCACCATTACTAAATTACTAGTGTTAATGTACAAAATGCATATTTACATACATGATTATGCTGCATAGTGGAGCATGCATAAGAATGCATCAGGAGTGAAATATATTATGCACCTAAATTTTACTTATTTATTATTTTTTTTAAGTTTAATGTGGCTCGCAGGCCCACATATTCACCACAGTCCGCACTCCATTCAATAGTGTTAATGTGGCTGCAAAACCCTAAGGATGTTCCTGGGAGAAATTCTTGTTAGTATATGTAGAAAATGCTACACAAAGACATGTCTCACCTTCATGGGATCCATGGCTTTACTCTTGGCTTGACCGTATGATACAGTTCCCTGAGTCATCCTTCGTTTCTCACCTAAAGCACAAAAGTACATGATTTAGAACAGAGTGAAAATTGATACAATTACTTTTATATACCCCAGAAAAAATATATATACATTTTTTAAATAAGTAACATTTATATGAGATTATTAATGTTAATTAAAGTGTTTATCCATCACTTTAATTAAAAACAAAGAAAAAGGTTTTAATTTATTAGGAGCAAAATCAAAAGCAAAAAAGCTCTTTGAAAGTTAATTAGCAAATTTCTTAATTGGGTATTTCTGCAATAGCAATTCAGTTTTCAATGAACCCCGAGCACGTCACATGCAACCATACATTTTTTATTTACATGTGACAGTGGACGGCATTGTTAGCTACCCCCATTGGTCATTCGTGTGTCCGTTCCTCGACACTTGTGTCATCGTTGTGTCCGACGAATTGCATTAGTGGTTCTAACATTTATGATGACAATTGTGTTACAAAAGAAGAATTACTGATCATTGAACAATAACTCAGCAAGGCCGAGAGGGAACAATTTGTTGACAAATCAGGCATCAAGTGAGTATGAAAAGATACTTTCTGAACAAGGCACTCGAATTCTCCCTAAGGTAAACTCACTGAATGTCCCATTGAACATTGTCCTTATAGCAAGGACAGGGCAACGTTCTGCACTAGTGTAGCAGGGATCTTTTAACAAAATTTGCCGAGACATAGTGATGCTGGTAAGACAATGGAAAACAGTTTCCTCCATGCCCTATCTGGCATCACAAGGACTGCCAAGTAGCACTCTCCCCAAACACCTAGTTTCCAGCCTAACTGCTACCATATAACCTCACCATCACCAGGTCCACAGCCCTCAAATGCTCTCACATTCTGAATTAGAAACATGGGGGGGAATTGGAGCATTCAAGTGTCTATCCAGTGAGTAGCATTTCAAATTCAAAGTCTGACTTCTGATTTTCTGTTCTGATTTTACACAAATAATCCCAGTGATGCAGAAGTACTCTTTAACATCTACAACTAATATGAATAGGGAATGAACTAATCAGAATGTAATTGTGTAACAAAGACTGATTGTAACAAGTAATTTTTTTTTTGTAATTTTTTTGTAAAAGATTGTAATGAAGTAACAATTGAGACTGATTGTCTGCACATAGAAGTTGAGGGAAACCACGAAGGATAAGAGCACCTAGAGAAAAGGTCTGGAAACCATGGCTGAACTGGCCATAAGAGAGACAACAAAAGCAAGCAAACCACATGCTTCAAGTGGACAGCTAAAGCACATTGACTGAAAGAAGTATAACTCATCTCTCAATAGTTCCAATCCAGACACAGCATCTGCTACTACTGCATCCTGATTGTGGAAGGGAGCCATATATTGTGCACATTGCATGCAGTAATCCCATAATTGAAAATGGGCATAACAATAGATAAATCTACTTATCTTTAGTCAGATGCAATGCAGGGCATACACAAAGCAGCAAAAATTCACCTGCCTGACAAGTGGTTCTCAAAATTTTGACATAATATGCCCCCAGATACGAGAAACAAGGGAAGATGGGATGCAATCCAGGCTACATCTGTCTCTGGAAGAGCATGGAGCCCACCTGGATATTCCACAAGCCCCTAACCACAAACACTAAGAAGGCCAAGGCTGGGACTTGAGCTTCTTAATCAGAAATCATACTTGCCATTTACAGACAACACAGAACCTTGGGCTACAGGCAAGGTTGCTGATTAGGAACCCAGACGAGTCAGCTGTTAAAGTAAACAAAGACAAAGTTCTCTGAAGACCATACTGCTAAATCTGAAAAAACCTCATGGTATCTAGATACAGTGGTACAGTGTGACAGTGTGTGCACCCTACATAGAAGCTCAGCCAGTCACTGCATTGTGGATGACTAAGTGGCATTCTACAGAAGAGCAAGTTATCAGTGGGGTCAGAGCACCTGGCGGATTAACAACTATGTTGTCGCGCTGAAGGAAAGACACGATGATAGCACTGACCAGCAACAAACTGAGGATTATTCTCTTTGAGGAATCTTCTTTCACCATAGAGGAGCTAAGAATAAACCCCAAGAGACTGAATCCCCTTTATGTCCAACATAAAACGAAAGTGAGCACAGCAGGAAAAGGACAGATGTCCAAGACCAAGAAGTAACCTAGGGGTGGGAATCATATAAGGATTAGGTGATCAAGCTCCTACCAGGTGGAATGCTGAAGCTGAACAGACACCACATGCTTGCAGGCAAGGGATATAGTGCTGCAGATAGTGACTGCTTCCCAAAGAATCAAGGTCAATCAATTTCCCACATCTCAGGGAAAGCAGCAGCTGCTACTGCTGTTGTAACAGACACAAACACAGGCAACAACCTCAACCCTTCCAACTTGGCCCATTCTGAATGCAACAGCAAGTAGAATAATTCCAAGCAAGTATAGAATATAATTACATCTGCTATGAGGTTCTCAACAACAAGGCATTGCTCTAAATGACAAGCCTGAATGTGGAGCAGCCACAAGACCTCGCCTACACAAGAGACACGAGAAACCTCCTTCCACTAAAGAACATCACTGTAAATCGTAGGTTGCCTGACAGCCAAGAGAATCTTAGGACCAGTAATAAAGCCATGATACAGAGGATGAATCAAATTGCCTTCAAGAAGAAATATGTAAAGTCCTACGAACCTGAACAGCATGGAGGCAAGACTGGGAGAAGCTTAGGAGTACCAGAACAATGTCATCCATGAGTGGCCCATTGAACCGGCTTTAATATTTTAAAAAGGAACTATAATACTCAAATTAAGCAGGTGAACAGAAAATTCTCCCAGCACTAAGGTAAGTGTTGTCTAAACCACAGCCCAAACAGGGAATGGACAGGAATCAAAACAAATCTTGTATACTGATTTTGGAGGAACTCCTCTTTACCCAAGTAAAAGGAGGGCCCAGCCACCGAGCCCTGCCACAATGTGAAGTCAATCCCCTGGACACTGCTTAGGGACAACAGGACTCAAACACAGGACACAAATACTTCCATTGGGAAGGAAATATATGCTTCCTAGGTCTGCTCATCGCAAGAATGATAGGTAGATGGGACACCAGGAGCATAGCTCTCATCCTGTAACTCCACTTAGGGCAATTACCTATTTGACAAAGCAATAAGGGAAGACAGGACTCCACAAGTGAAGTTTTCATTCTGTAACTTCACAGTCATTTGACAAGGCCTGGCTGCACATCATAATTTTTAGCCCTGTGCAGGTAAATCATTTGTCAACTAGCTTTTTTCTATTTAAGCTTTGGGTATTTTTCTACTAAACACTGAACTAATCCCAGATTAAAATGGATGCTTCTCATTAGGGTTAGTCCTCCTCTGCAGGCAATTACAGTGCCTCTGCAAACACTATAATTGCAGAAGGTTATGTGTAACCTGTATGAATGTAACTACCTGTCCAATATCTTTTATTTTATTTTTTTTAAGGAAGCTCATTTGTATCCAGCAGAGCCAGTCCATGAGTAGGATAGAATGTGCATTTTCATCATAATCCTAATACTGTAGTTGTAAAGTTGCAGTTTCTTCATATATGCATTGTATGAAATCAATGTGGGTGTCATAGTTTGTATATCAGAATAAACTTCTAGAATTACTATCAATATTTTGATGGCCTTACTTAGGAATGCGTAACACATGACTGCTTGGCACACCTGGCCCATACATAGGGCCCTATGCACATATAAGGGGGGTGTTTGGCAAATACTTAACATATATGGCACACATGTCTGCCACAGGCTTTTGCTAAATTCACATGCCATATACCCAGAATATCCCTGAAAGCAACAATGCAAACAACATATTGTGATCCACGCTGTAATACCTCTTCTTCGGCTCTCCACACTGGAGGCTGAGCTACTACGAGAGTAACTAGACCGAGATCTAGACCTGGTGACACTTCGACCTCTGGATCGAGATCTTGATGTGGCAGAACTCGACCTGGAGCCAGATCTTGATCGCGAGCGACTGGATGAAAACGTTCTACCAACTCTGAAACCAAGAAATAAGATTAATGACTTCTATAAGAAAAGTACCGTAATTATGATCATCTGATACATGCATAAAATATCCCTATTATCCCTACCACTCAATCATCATCTATTCATTGAATTTGACTACAATCTCAAGACACTTTTCTCAATATTACATTTAATTGGCTTTTGCATTCAACATCTTTTCATAGTATTCTCGTCCCTAACTTAATGCTCCCAACCCCACATATGCACTGAAGGTTGTCCACTTGAAATGATCTAACTTCACATTTTTTATAGCATTCTCCTGCTACTGTACACCGGCAACTCTCGCCCACACACAAAGGCAGGCACTGCTGCTCCTTCATGCAGCCTGCTAGCTTCAGTGAATACAATCTTATTTTACTAACAAGGATGTTCAATGCACACCTCACTTTTCTTTCCTGCCTTCTCTACCCTCAGCTTCTTACACAAATTACTCATATCAATTAATTAATTATTTATAACAAATAAAATCAGCTTTAAAACCTTCAACACTGGGGCTCCAGAGGTGCCCCAGTGCAGTACACACCCACACCCACATTACATTCTCTGGAGTACTGTGTTACCCATCCCAAAGCAATCAACCAAGTGCCCCCTCACCTTCCTCTTGGCCTTGAGCCAGATCTGGATCTAGATCTTGAAAGGCTGTGATTGCTATCTTTTCGTATGCGACCAAATCTGTCAACTCTGAAAAAAAATTCAATGCTCTATATTAGAAAACGTATAGAGATTGATGGCACTTTTGTGTCAATCTGGGTGAATTCACAGAATGTGCAATATACTGTGCACCATACACACACACTACACAGTATTTTAATGAAGAAATAGAGAAACAAAATCTATATACTGTATATTCATCCTTTAACACCTCACTCTCTTTGAGAACTCCTGTTCTTCGCGATGGAAGACTTGTGTAGCTTTTTCACAGGAGATTTCAACCACCTTCAATTGTTAGCATTTTGGTTGAAAGAATACCTAAAATGTTAAGGAATTTCACATTCGGGTTCAGAAATTGAAAAAATGATGCACCTGCCAATTGAATTAAGAAACAATGATATATGGAATAACAGATGCATATCTCATTTAGGTTAAAACCTTCACTAAATTATTGAGTTATTATGAAACTCATCAATTGAGATTTGGCTCCCCCCCCTCCAAGGTAAGATCTGCTTTGTTCACTGAACAATGATCTTTGTAGTAATGCAGATATTCATGGGACCAACACAGCAAGAATCTTTACAGCTGTCCCATGATAATTAAAGCATGGGACAGCTGGATATCTAATACAGACACTGGATATAAACTCAATCAAACCTGGAATGACCAACAGAGGAGCATTTCATAAAAGCTCAAGGCATGCAAGAGTTCTCCCTTGTGATCAAACAGGACTACCAAATGGGGGTTACACTTCTTAAGCCGCACACTACATGACGAGAAACGAGTCCCCTGGCCGACACCAAGAATCACTACCACAGGGTCCAGCTCCCCAGAATGAATGATGCCTAGTATGATGCATATAACAAAGGGAGGAAATTAGGATTAACAAAATGGCATTGCTCAAAGTGTGTTTTATATATATATTCTGCACGATATTTCTCAGTTATTGCATCAGGTTGCCCCTTAAGACAAGATTCACACAAGAGAAAATAGGAATCATTGAAAAATAAGTGGGAAACGAACGTTGAATCCAATGAAACATCTCTTTCCGGGGGAAAAGGGGGGATGGGGGGGGACTGCCTCAGTGATTCCCCTGTAATACGCCACACTGAGACAGCGCCACACCTATAATTCATATAAGCTCTTTGCAAGTCATTAAACACCTACTGAAAACTAAAGGTCAAACCCAGCTCTCCCCCACCCCCCCCTTCACCCTCACACTAAGGTGCAGGGAGCAGGGGATTCATGATCACCCTCAACTGAAGAAACAAACCACAAGAAAGTTAACAATGGAAAATAACTATATGGTTTACTTAAAGTAAACAAACAACTCATCCAGTACTTAGGACATAACCCTCCTGTAGGTACACCTCAAATTAAGAATACTGTAGTGGTACATCAGGTACTCAGAAGTGAAGAGGTGGGCCACAGGTCTCCAAATCCAGTCATTCCTGCCTGTAAACACATAGGCAAGAGAATTGCGTACACAGAATATGCATACGCATTCTTATACCTGTGAACATAGTGTGCAGACACACACACAAATGCTAAGGAGTAAAGATGCCAAAAAATATACGAGATCTCTTTAAAAAATAAAAGAGGTTGTACAGTTGATAATTCATTAAGAAATGGTGGAGGTCAAAACCATCAATCATTTAAAAAGTCACATGACAAAGATTACAAAGAAGATGGGACATCACAAGCATAGGTCTCATTCACTAACTACATTGAAGTAATTAAACTTAGGTAATTACACACAAACATGCATGTCCTCATGAACTGTAAATACAACGAATACACAAATCAGATCGTTAAAGAATACTAAAGCTGTCTGATAGCTTTAAATATGCTAAATTCATACAGCTGACAGCTGAATGAATTTCTGTTGACTTGGGTATGGCCAGGCTCATCACTGATCATTGGGCTATGGTTAAAAGATGCAGGATAGCAGGCAGAGGGCTAGGAAATAATACAAATATGAAGTAGAATCTTTGAAATCATCTGGCAATCAATTAGATAATTCATCCGAATAATCCACTTATTCTTTACAAAATAGTTTATCTTGAGAGAAAATTATAGCATAAACGAAAATACTTAGGCATAGAATAAATACAAAAACTTAGGCATAGCATACTCAAAACAACCCTGGCATAGAATACATAAAATATGCTTAGGCATAAAATACATAAAAAATCATTACAATTACAGTACTGTATATCCATTCAAAGAAATCTAAACAATAAAACTACAAGGCAAGCAATAATGTTGAAATATCTAAATCACGTGAATTGAACTCTCTCTCTCATGCCATCACCTATACTCATAAAGCTACGAAACAACAAAGACCTCCATCCCACACACACCTCTCCCTTACGGCAACCTTGGTCGGTTTAGATTCTTGTCGTGGTGGTGGTGAAGGAGGCAGTGGTCTGAGGACAGAAGGTTTGCTAGAAGCCAATTTATATATGGAAAATGGTGAGAAAACACACACAAATGACAAGAGGGAACCTAAAATTACAATCTAAAAATTTAATTCTGCAAATTACTTCCCGCAAAACATTTCACATTCACAAAACATTCTTACCCACTTTTCTATTTGAATATGTAAATACGTACGTATTTATATATTCAAATACACACACACCGTATTGAATATACTGTATGGTTTAATTACATATATTGTAAATATATACCGGTATAGGGAAAATAAAAGAAAATTATTAAGATTACCTATGTATTGAATTACTAAGTCTGTAGCCAAGCTGCTGCTCTGACTGCCATAAACAGAGCAGCAGCAGCAGAAAAAAAAAAAAAAAAAAGTGTGTATGCAGACACTAAAACACAATATGAGGGCAAGAGAAAAGCTCTCCTCTTGAGGTGATAAAACCATGGGGCTGAAGTCTTGCCTGAAAATAATTACTGTACAACAAATTGATCTACAAATAAAATATTAATGTACTGTACATTGACAGCAACATCCAGATTATATTGTTCTAGGACCAATCTGGATTAGGGCAAAATCTCAATACTGTATTTATAAATTTTTCCTTTTTTTGGAGAGTCATAGTCAGACCCTAGCTGATCAGGCTAGGGTCTCTTCTGAGCCTCTGGTAAGCTGTTGCTTCTGGGCAGTTAAGTGGGTAGAATTTTTTACCCTTTAACCTGGGCTTGGGCCCTTTGTTCCCAAAGGTTTTTCCTTAGCAGAATGATGTGTTTGGGCAGAGGGTTGCAAGGCATACCTCCTCTTCCTGTGGTGAAGAAGGCATTTGCTTTGTAAACAATCATTCTCAGTACATTGTGCTAATTTGTCTTCCAGTGTTACGGAACTAGCCGAGTTTCTCTGCTTTGTAGGTCGGCATCCCAGATACAGCCTTCACTAATTTACTGTTACTATAGTAGGAAAAATACTAAGCACAAATAATAGGACACTTCCAGAATACAATTGATGAAATTGACCAATCAGACTCATGTAGGCAGTATGAATAAATTAAATCATGCATGTCTGAAAAATAGTGATAAGCACTAACAGCGATGCATAACAAAAATTACTTTTCACCTGTAAGGGTTTAATTAATCTAACCAATGTTTTAATCCTAAGAAAAGACACCTAGCAGTGATAGCAGGTCAGTAGCTAGATAGTCAACACAACGGAGATGAATGCATCCATTTAAGTAATAAGTTGCTGAAAAACAGGATGCGACTCTTACCTCTCCCTTGTGAGAATCTTGGGTGGCTTAATGTCTTGTTGGTGAATAGGCAGAGGTGGTGGTCTGAGAAAAACAGATAAGTACTTTAAACATCAACAGTGCTTCATCCTTGCCAAAATTAATCCTACTCTAACCACTCGCAAGGATAAAAGCAGCATTGTCAACAGTTGGTAACACACAAGTGGGATAAAGTAGCCTCATTAGAATGTCACAAAAGTACTTGGTAAGCAAGTTATACATGATAAAGCCTTTATAAGAAAATGTAGTCTTTAAAAAGAGGTGCACAATGAAATCACATTAATGGGATGTATCTTAGAGCCAGCTTCAGCTTTGTCTGTGTTCCTTAGATTGCATCTAGCCGATATCTCTGAATGGATTTCCTACATTACTGTGCTTGTTTCCAGCCCATGAATCACCACTTGCGGGCTCCTCTGGCTTTGAAGGATCATCTTCGGCAGTGCCTTTGTATTTTTGGGGGGCTTCCAGAGACTTCAGGGTCTCCCTTTTGGACCCTCAGACCAGTGTGGACTTGGGCTTTATCTCCTTTTCCTTTGCTGGGCATTACTGCTGTCTCCAATGCTCTTGCAGGCACTCTTCCAACATGCAGGTATTGTTAGGTACTGATGTGGATTACACTGATCCTTCATACTCGCAATTGGCTCAGTTGTGCACTGGTGGTATTTTCTCTCACAACTTGGAGGGAGGAGAAGGCTTTGCAAGTTCACTTGTGTTGAGATAGTAACTGAGAAGCATTAGTTTTCCTCTGAACCCCAAGTGGTCTACAGTTGCAGGGTATCGACTTTGTTGCCAGACAGACTCCACTGGTTGTGCTGATCCTCAAGGACTGAGATGTGGAGTATGACATTCACTCCATTCTTTACTATAGAATGGACATGAATTCCATTAAATGCATACAGTGAAGAATGACGAAGTTAATCTCAGAAATCAGAAACTTCTCTTATGATACCATTATTAAAGCTTAATTTACATTCTCTAGAAGACAATGTACAAGGAGGTGACTCGATTAAAGTTTACATATAGACAAAAAAAAAAAAAAAAAGTTTAACAAATGGGATATAAATAAGGTTTCAAATACATCAACACAAAATAGAAAATGAAACGATGGATATAAACTGGATAAGTTTAGATTTAGGAAAGACCTGGGTAAATACTGGTTTGAAAACAGGGTTGTAGATTTATGAAACAAATTACTGGGTAACAATAAACATAGAATCACTGGCTTGTTTCAAACATAGCTAAGACGTCATGGGTTTCAAACAATACGAGTGAGTTCGGGTGGATATAAATAGGTGCTCCCAAATGTGGGCCAAATTGATCTCTGCAGTTCCCTGGAGCCCTGACTCCAACCTTAACAAGTATTACAGAAATATAAATATCTGATCAAACTATTTGTTTATTATTAGAATACCAAACACTCTACGATAACAATGTTTTCCAATTTCCACTTTATAAAGCGCCCTCGAGGGTTACCCACATCAGATATTGATCCTATTATTGGTCATCTAGAACATGTATTATGCATAATCATTGTTATATGTTAATTAATATTAATAATATAATTGCTTGAATCCTAGAAAAGCACACCAAGTGATGATAACTTTAACAGCATAATAACCAATACAATGGAAAAGAATGCCTCTATGTCACAAATCAACCTGTCCTCTTGAATAATACATTGTATATTTTGACATACAAATTCCCAACCTCAGAGTATGATGTTCAGTACTATAAATCATTGCCACTTGCTAACATTGACAGACTGCTAAGTTTTCTATTCTTGGGTCCATCGGTTAGTAACTCATTTTTGTGATGCCAACTTGAGAGGACCGGTTGCATAAATAGCTGAAAAATGAGACGTATCACTCACCTCTCTCTTATGGGAATCTTGGGTGGCTTAATGTCTTGTTGAATAGATGCAGGAGCAGGTCTGAAAAATAAGTTAATTATTAATAATTAATAATTCATTGGGTTTGGGAACAGGCAGCCAGTGTTAAATTGCTGACCCCCCACCCTCCCCTCCCCCAGGATGCAACCCTACAACATGCTGACTCCTGGGGTATCTACTTACTGCTAGATGAACAGGTGCACTAGGTGATAGAAAATGCACCTCGATGAGATTCTGGGAGTTCTACTCCCCAAGCCTGACCTAGGACAAGGCTTGACCTGTGAGAGCTTGGTCCAACAGGCTGTTGCTAAGAGTGACCCGCTGGCTCACATATCTACTACATACTAATTGGTCTGGCACTTCTTTCAGAAAACTGTCAAGTTTTTTCTTGAAGATTTCCACTTTTGTTCCATAAATATTTCTTATACTTGATGGAAAGGATACTGAACAACTGTGCACCTCTAATGTTCAGTGTTCTCTGATTTTGCCTATGGCACCTCTACTTGCAAGGTCAAGAAGGAAGTAAACAAATCTACAAAGCAAACAATCCACCCAGTAATTAGATCATCCCCCCCCCTTTTCCCCTAGTTACTGCTACCCACCAACAGTGGCAGCACTACTGAAGCTGCTGGCTACCATGTCAACAAACCCTCAGTCATGTGCATGAAGTTTTGGCCTTAGGTCTGTGATAGGCCATTAAGGACTGGCAATGGCTGAGGTGATTTAAACGTGTGGAGCCATGTAAATGCAGCTAGCTGCAGGCAGTCACCAAGGCCCATCAAAAAGAGGCATTTCATTACATTCAATGAGGGTTTTTTTTTAATCTTCAACCAATAGTTGCTGTAAGTGCTATCAATTTTGAATGATAACTTATCTAATCAATTCTTGAAACCTGCTAAACTGTTTGCTTGAATAGTATTACTGTAGATGGCAGTTCATTCCACTCGTCTGCAACCCTTATTCCTAAACCAGTATACTTTCCTATATCCTGACAAAAATCTATTTATTACAGCTTGCACCCGATGTTGCAGGTTCTGGCCTGTTCCGATAGTGTCAGAACCCATCTTATACTGTATATCCTCCCTTGTTAATGCTCCCTCCCTTTCTTTGTTTTCCATTTCCAATGCCAATTCAAGGATTCCAATTCAGGAACTCCTGGAGACAATTCCAATGTCTCCAGGGAAGGTGGATCAGGCACAGGCTATGGTAATACCCTCCCTGCCAGCCTTTCTCCCCCCCCCCCCAAGTATCCTGGCTGTGTTCTGCCTTTACGGTTCCTACTGCAGGATGTTCTTGGCAGTTTTAGCTAGGCTTGTGACCACCAGAGTGGGGGTTCTGGTTCCTATCTTAACCTTTTTCACCACTTTCTGTTTCTCACATTTTTTATCTAACACTGCAGACTACTATATGTACCTGAATTCGCTTCAGGGGCCTGAACACAACCTGGACCCAGATAAAAGGCTATTTTTGCCTTTAATGGGACAAAAGATACTAAACATTAAATAGACTGGTAACCATAGCCAAGAGGTCTTAAATAGTCTCTGACACTAACCTAAATGCTTAATCCAATGCTAATATACTGAGGACATAATAATTATGCACATGAAATAGAACATTTTCAGAATCCCAGTAGATACATCAACCATTGGAGTGATGTAGATGGTATTAGTAGAGGAGAGTACGTGTGGCTGGGGTGATCAGTAGGTGCTGAGTGCAATGAAGAATAATGCCAAAACAAGAGCAGAATTTATTGATGATTATCTTTCACCTGTAAGGGGTGCAGACGAGGAGTCACAATAATGTGGCTGAAATATGTTGACCAAACCACACGCTAGAAAGTGAAGGGATGACAGCGTTTCGGTCCGTCCTGGGCCATTCTCAAGTCGATCGTGATTAAGGAATTGATTGATTGATAAAGATTAAGCCACTCAAGAGGTGGCACGGGCATGAATAGCCCATGCCACCTCTTGGGTGGCTTAATCTTTATCAATCAATCAATTCCTTAATCACGATCGACTTGAGAATGGCCCAGGACGGACCGAAACGTTGTCATCCCTTCACTTTCTAGTGTGTGGTTTGGTCAACACATGTAAGGGTTTTTATCAAATCTGACCAATATTTAAATCCTAGGAAATGACAATGATAGCAAGCCAACAGCATAACAGTCAACACAATGGTGATAAATGAATCCATCTAATTCTAAAGTGCAGTTACTGACAAATTAGATGCAACACTCACCTCTCCCTTGTGAGAATCTTGGGTGGCTTAATATCTTGTTGGTGAACAGGCAGTGGTGGTGGTCTGAGAAAAAAAATTACTTCAGTAATTTACATGAAAAATAAACATAAAAGGTACAGAATTCGACATTAAAAAGTAAGTGATAAACGTAATGATACTTCAAGCATCCACAAAGCTGATGAGGTAATATGTTAAGAACTACAGAGGAATTTTCAAGAGGAAGTTGAGAAGAGACTATGTAAAGAAGAACAAATCCACAAAGGGCCGTGATGAGGGTTTAAACCTAGGTCCGAGAGGATCCCAGATGCACCTTATGTAAATAGAATTTATGTAAAGAAGCTTCCTTACAGTATGCTCGGTGTATTTGGTACCTGCCTACTTTCGGTCTGCTTCAGATGATTTTGTTGATCGTGTCCGCGTAATATGGTCTCAACCAGCTTTTTATACGATGGTCTGGTAAACTAGGCAGTTGGACACCATTGCCTGCAGGCCAATATAAGCACTGCATGACAGTCTGGTCCAGCAGATAGTTAGATGCTGCTGTTGAATAGCTTTGGAGGTACAGTTTAATGTCTAAATGTATATTGTGACGTCTCTCTCTCTCTCTCTGGCCTTCACTTCAAGAAGAACAATTTGAAATTTTATGTTGTCCCAATAATTTCAATATTTTGTTGAATGAATTCAGGCAGCAAGAGATTTACAAACATTCGTCAGGTCATCAAATGTTCCAGATTTGTTTATGTAAAACTTAAAATGAAAATGAATCAGAGTTTTGCTATAACCCTTAACTCTTAAATTGCCAAGCAATTTCAGTCATGCATAATTATGCACATAGAAAATAAAACAAGTACAGTACACTGAAAACCTCTAAGGATCAATCACATACAGTGAGTGCACACAGAAGGAAATCAGATAAGACTAATGGAGCTGTCTGAGCTGTACTGTTGAGCTGTTGGAGCTGTACAACCGGTATTGGAAAATAGATACAGTGGAACCTCAAGTAATGAGCAGCTCCAGTTACGAGCATTTCGAGTAACGAGCAAGCCACTCGCAGAAAATATGTCTCGACTGACGAGCTTTCCCTCGATTAACGAGCGTTCCTGCTGGTTCTCGGATACCTCCGACAACAGTTTTGTTGTTGTCTCACAAGACGAGTTTTCCACATGACGAGCTCGGTGCCGGAACGGATTAAACTCGTTAATCGAGGCGCCACTGTACAAGAAAATATCATAATCTCTAATAGAGGATGAAATATGACAACGCACACTAGTTGACAGAGTGTCTTGTGTGAATGTTACAGAAGAGAATCACGTACTGCACAGTAGTCTACTGCATATACAAAGTTGCGTGCACATCAGTAACTCCTTCCCAGAGTTCACGATAGAGGCAATTATTAAAGAAAAAATCCGACCAATTAAAGGCCTCTTCAATACACAATACAACATGTTATTTCACCTTGGATCTCGTGGCTCAGGTCTCCGAGGTATGGGTGGTCGAGTATGAGGGCCAGTTGGTGGAGGAGCTGGTCGCCCTCCTCTCGCAGGTGGTGGAACTTGCCTTGTGCTGGATTTCTCACTTGGTCGGGCAGCTAAAAAACATATATAAATGAATAAAAGTAATAATAAATACTATACATTATATATTATATATATATATGTATGTATGTATGTATGTATGTATGTTGTACCTAGTAGCCAGAACGTCGTACTCGACCTACATATGCAAGGCCCGATTTGCCTAATAGGCAAAGTTTTCCTGAATTTATATATTTTTCTATTTTTTTCTTATGAAATGATAAATCTGTCCATTTCACTGTGCATAAGTTAATTTTTTTAAACTTGAGTTAAAACTAACGTAGATATATGACCAGACCTAACCTAACCTATCTTAAAATAACCTAAACTAACACAACTAAGTCAATAAATTATGTTCCTAATATAATAATAATAATTCCAATAAACTAATTGTAAAAAATTTATTAAAATAAAGAAAATCACTCGGCCTATTAGGCAAATCGGACCTTGCATAGTAGGCCGAGAAGTGCGTTCTGGCTACTAGGTATGACACACACACACACATTCATTTATTTTTCATTTACGAGGGCCATAGGAGCCTCGAACAAGCGATCTCTAGCATGAGAGACGAGTGCTCTATCGACTGAGCCATGTTACAGCATCAAGCAGTGTCTTCTCTGTTGGCATCTTGACGTTCTGGTCTTATTCTTACTCTCATGGTGGGTAGAGCGAATAGTTCCGTAATTTGAGTATTTATGGTAGGTTGTTCTACTTTTATGTGGATTACTTCAAGATTGATCTTGAAGCAATCCACATAAAAGACTTTTATGTGGATCCTCCTCCCCACACTCCTGCACACCTATACCAGAAGAAAGCCGACAGTCAAACACCAGGTAATTAATCACACTGAGAAAAGAAGACAATTGACTAACAGGTATATGGAAATTTTGAAAGAATGAAACAAAACATTCTAGTTATTCAAAAGTAAAACAGAAGAAGACATTTCAAGGGAGAAATTACATGATACTGATGTCTAAGGAAGAAGTGGAGTAACACCTAGTAGATGTGGATGCATTAAAGGCAGTAGGCCCCTATCAAATTTATCCTTGGCTACTAAAGGAAGCAGCAGCAATTATATACCAGCCACTACCAAAAGAATATAACAAAATTAAAAAAAAAAAAAGGGGGGCCAGTGACCTTGACAACAATCATGTGCAAGGTACTGGAGAAAATGATCACGCATACAATCATGTAACATTTGGGAAAAACAGTTCATAACCAAGCAGTAACACTGGTGCCAAGCAAATATAAATCAATATTATGACGATGACCAAAGTTTTAAAATTCTGTACACATTCATCTTTCTCTGGGACACTACTCACAGTCATCAAACTGATCTACAGAACTTAGGCAACTAGTTTTATCCCGGAGCTCCTAGTGCTTGTGTGTGTGCGTGTGTTCGTTTTGTTTGTTTTAGGTAGAAGCAACTTCCCTGGCTGTAAACTCTCTGAAGATCACAACTCCTAATTTAAAAATGGAATCTGAGAATCAATAAACAGTGTAATAAAAAAACAATAAATGCTACTGGGTGACATTTCCCAAAAATGAATTTTAAATTTAATAATTTACTTTAGGATTAAACTAAATAAGATGACATTCTCCAGATATGGGGTAGTGCCACCCTCTTGAATGGAACGACACAGTGGTCAGTGCAGTCGGCTCACATCCTAAAAACCCAGGCAGGCCAAAATCTACGGACATGTTTCCTTACACCTCGAGCCCCTATCCACCTAGGAATATAGAATAGGTATACCTGGGAATAGGTATACCTGGGAATTTGGCAAATCTTGTAGCTTGCATTCCTGGGAAGGTCAGTTGTTGGCCAAGTGCATTATCTGCACCTTAACAGACTTTCTGTACCTGACAATGAGAAACCAACCGTTTCAGACCAATTTGGATGGATCAGGTTTTTTGTTGCATCTGATACTCGCTATTTTTCACTAATGTTTGCCATAATTTTTTTTTTAGATTTTTAGTGCAAACAATGGAATATCAGTAGTGAAAAAAGTGTGTATTGGCACTGCTGCTCTGGCCTAGTTGGAAAGTCTCAAATGTCCCAGTGCCACTTCCATTACACTTCATCCGACCACTTACCAGATCGGAATCCGTCTGGCAGATCCGATCTCGTATTGGGCCGGGCTCCAGTGGAGGGGGTATCCCCTGAATTAAGAAACAAAACAATTATTAAACAAAATAGTTGCCACTGGGCTACACTGTGCAATAAAGTAACCTGCTTCAGTTATATGATCGTGCATGCATGTTGCAGGTGTCAAGTCATTATGACGAGGTTTCTCAAGATATTGCACAGAAACCAAACAAAAATAATTAATGTAGCTATTTCCCAAATTTTTTATACTATAGCATCCAATATGAAGTGTTCTCAAGATATCAGAAATGAATGAAATCCTCGAGGAATCCTTAGCAAAATCACACACTACCCCCAAAATACGGATTCTATAACCAACACAGTACAGTTTGCCGAATTCTAGGGATTAGTGAGCCATCCAAGATAAATCAAGCCACCATATTAAATCATGACCCGAGGCAGAAGAGGGAGCTGTTGGTGCAAATTTTACAGGCTTCATCACCGATGATGATGTTATTAGGGTAGAAGTAGGGACAATAAGAATTAACCAGAAGTGGAAGTGTGGTATGGCTGCAGATAGGTTAATTTTGGAAGAAGTTAAAAATATCTGAGCAAATGACTGCAAGAAAAAGATTGAACAACAATTGCTTGATAAGGATAGCATAATGCAGAGACATAACATGCCTACATTATAACATTCAGTTGCTCTTTAAGCAACCGAAATCCTTGGAAAACCATTACCATAACCATTTCTGTAATCCTTAGAAACCATTACCATAGAGACAAGAAAAAAATATAGAAGCATCTAAAGAGAAGACGTTACTCACCTACAATGCAAAATGACAGAAATGGAAGCAGAATGAAAAATGCTCAATCAGTCGAGAGAGGGGGAAGGGGGGAAGATGGGGACAAGGAACAAGGACACTGGCATTACCACTGCACACAATTATAATGTTGTACTCGTCTGCAATGCAGGGTGGTGTTGAAGGAAGAATATTTGAAAACACTTGCCCAACTGAGAGAGGGGTCAGAACAAGGGCACCGGCATCACTGTCGCACAAGGTTATCACGATGACAGATTTTTCAAAGGCAGGGAGTCATTGGCAAATACCTCTCGGCTTGCACTGTATAAGAGCACCAGAACCCCTTTGCTTTGATCACTGAGAAAGACATGCCTAAAATGAAAGTCTTATAGCTGGCAAACTAGTACAAATCAAGAACTAGCAAGAAACAATGCACTAAGAGTAATTATTAAAAAAGAAAGCAACTAAGCAGTCCAAGCCTTGGAACACAAACCAAGGTATAAAGGTCAACGGCCAGCCAGTCCTACAATCCATGATGAGAGGCAGTCAAATGTTTACATTACAAAGCCACAAAACAAAGAATGAGGAACCCAGCAAATACTAAGAACATACAGGTGAGGTCAGACACAACTGGAGCACATTTAGTACAAACACCAAACATTCTGTGCGGTAAGATCTCAGCATATAGAAATCCCAACCCTCAAACAAAGCCTGTGAAACTTGGACGAATTGGGGCAAGCCAAAAATATATCCAGTAATGTCTTTTGTGAAGCAAAATTCCCTATATAGCAGACCAAATGTACCCCAGCTAAGTACATTAGTGAGGCAGTGAAAACATGGTTCAACCTACAAAACCTACAGGTTGTACCATCGGAATAAGACGGGGCACTGAAGAAAGCCACGAGTGTAGTAAACATACAAAGATCATGTTGTGCATGACAGTTAATATGGGGCTAACTAATAACCTTATATAAGTAAGTTTTTAAATATATAAACGCATAATAGCACATGAAACGATGGGAATAAATTAGAGAAGTTCATATTCGGGAAAGGTCTTGGGATGTATTGGTTTGGAAACAGGGCTATTGGCTGTTAATTACTGGCTGTTAACCAGTAATAAATTACAGATTAACATAACATGTGTGTGATCGCTGGATAGATTTGAGTGTATATTTGACATGCATGTGAATATGTTTTGGTGGATATAAAAAGGAGTAATCTCATATAGGCCAATTAGCCTCCTGCAATTTCCTCTATACAATACTTATGTTTTAATGAGAAAAGCTGTAAGAGGTGAATTTGAAAAATGAAAAGTGTGTCAAGATTTAAAAATAACACGATAAGAAAAGGGGCAGGAAGATACCAGTGTAACGTAGCCACAGAGAGATGGCACAATGGATATCTGGGCACACAAACCCATCTAGGATGAGACGACCAGGAAAGGTAAGCATTCATTCCCAACCACTAGAGGATCAGAGTGGGATTGGGAGAGTATTTCATGGTCACCAAAATATGTCTCAATGTGACCTGACAAAATCAGGGCCATGGCAATCTTGCCCCCATTCTACATATCATACACGTGAAGCAGACAGGTGCCCAAGGGCCAGGGACACTCAAGGAAGACTGGGGAACAAAGTGATATGAGACCCTAATTAAAAGTAGGAGTAAAATCATTATTACAAGATCTTGATGATGGGAGGAAGACTCATCAACACAGAATAATGAGATTGTGTAATTTTTCTGACCTGGAGCCACACGCTGGTTGGAGCGATGACGACTAGGGGAAGGTGAATGTGATGTTGATCGTGAACGACTACTTCTACTAGCCAAACTTGTCCTACTGGTCTTGCTTCCACTTCTACTTCTGCTTGGACTACTGTAGGATGATGACCGAGAAGACCTGAAAAAATTAATCAAACCAATGATAACCTGTTAAGTAAGATTCCCACTTCACACACTTAAATAAAAATTAACCATAAAACATGGATTCCCATACACTTGAAAACAAATGAGCCATAAGAATGTAAGGAAGTATTCCTCCCAAACACAATTGGTGATTATAAAGAGCGAACTGAAAAATGAGGTACTTGAGGACAATTTAATCAACATCTTTAAAAGTAAAATATGAGTTGTAGGAAAGATATTGGTATTGTACCAGATATTCAAGGAAAGGCGCGCCCACGTGCTGATCCTCGTTACCTCCAGGCGTACATAGGTAAGAATACATGCCTGAACATTATTGTTTTTTTTTTGGGGTAGGAGTATAACAATAAAAATAACTTAGAATAAAATAGTGAATAAGTAAAATTTAATTGTCCTGACATTGTTCCGTCCTTCTAGAATCAATAAGCTACAGTGCTGTATTTAGTTTGTCAACCTGCATATTTATAACCAGACGTAATTATTTTAATTTTTCAAGATCCTAATCAGAACAAAATAAATGGGTTATATTTTATGGTAATATCCATATGCCATTATGTCAACTTCCATTCATATAATTTTTGTGAAAAACTAAATATGCTTTGGGTTTTTCAGGTCATCATATCTCAGGATATGAAAAAAGTGATGCAATGAGTATGAGGTGGATGTGTGGTTGCTTACTCATAGCATAATGAGGCAAAATGCCAATCATACCAAACAGGTGCAGCAAAATTGAGCCGAGTGAAAGAAACTGGAGGATGTTTCAACAGAGGGGAACTCAACCAAACCCGGAGAAAGGCCTAAGAAAACCCAACTATGGGATTTGGCAAGCTCAACCCCGGCTTGGCAAACCTGAAACCTTCATAAACAAACCCCTACAACTCCAGAATCCCTCCCCCCTCCCCCCTGCCAGTGGGATTTTTGGAGAGAGCATCCCGGTGGCTCACTAAAGATAACCACTGAAAACGAAGATGGGACTTAACAGGAAGGAGAAGAGGCAGCAGGCATTAGGATGAAGAAAAGAAACCGAGCCAGGAGACATGGGCCAAAGCAATATACTAGGACCAGGCTGGTGAGTCGTAATGACACTGTCGACAACCTCAGAAATGTGAACCGTGAGACAGGATACCAAGGAAATAAGAGTCAACTAACAAGGTGTCCACCGAGATGGAGCCAGTGGCTTGCAGGTAGCGGCGAAGAGCCATCACTGGACACAACAAATGATGCACCAGCTGAACCAATGAAGCATCACCAATGGACCCCTGCAGAAGTTTGTCAACTCATTCTCTGCCAGAAAAGTCTGCTAATGAACAAACCACCAACAGGGCCAGAGGAACAGAATCCCTGCCTCCAGAGAAGAGCCTGAAGGTCCCCAACCCCACAGCTGGTTAAGAAAGATCACAAGCCAAAGGAGAAACCGTAAACTGAGATCAGGAGAGAAAAACCACAACCTAGTCAAGAGGAGCATGAGCAGGCTGGAGGTGAAAAAACGCTTGAGACAACTTGTGAAATGGCACCATGGAGATGGTGACACAGAATGTAAGTAACAGTGGGTCCAAAAACACTGAATGATAAGAGGTGACAGTATTAGGCATGCAATGCTGATTTAGAAACAATTGCAACAAGAGGACAGTACAGATCTGACCAAAACCAAAGACGATGAAATGGCAATTAAAAATAGAAACAAGTGCTAGGCAACTTCGTACTGCCCCTGTTAGGAAAGGCACAGGTGGGACACCAATAAACCAGCCACCCACTTGCCATATAAATGGCAATCAACACGCAAACAGCAGAAGAGAAGTTTGAAACAGCGAAGAACACTACTGGGCCGACCTCCTGAAAGATGCAGAACTGCAGAAAAGAGTCCGGGTTCAGACACCAAGCCAACAGCATCAGAAACTAAGGCTGGGTCGACCACTAAGGAGCTAGAAGGATCACCCTTCCTGAGTATGACTCTAGACTGGATAGCACCCAGAGCAACAAGTGAACCAGGGTAAAAGGTTCATAAATGCATCTCCATCTCGATCAATCCAGCTGAAAAGCATCCACACATCCATCACAAGTGCCTCATGGTCGAGGAATGGAGCCACATAAGAGGGAAGGTGCCAGTCCATGTCGATGCAAGGAGATCCAGCTCGGGATGACTTAATGTCTCACAGAGTCAACAGAAGGATGCATCTACCCAGTGGAAATGGGATGGAAGCAAGATAATCCATCTGCGAGAATATTGGACACTCCTGCACGTGAACTGCACAGAAACACAAACCCTAAGAAGCCAGAAACCAAGCTACACAAAGCAACCAGCTCCACAGCGAATGGACTGCCACAGAAACAACCTGTGCAACAGTAACCTTAGAAATGAGGAGGAATGAATAGGCGCAGGCAGCCAAAAAGGTAAAAAGAGACTAAGAATCTAAAGAACAGGACAACATGGCCAGTTGACACTCGAGGGGGGCCAAATAAAATGCAGCCACTACCTCCCAAAGGAGAGGGGTATGAATCTTGGGCAAGGCTGCCAAGACCAAGGGTGGTAGGCAAGATTGGTGTATCTTTTTAAGGTGTAGCTCTACCAGCACTTGGCTTGGTAGACTGCTGAAAGGACCTTCCCAGAAATATTACACAGAATTTGAAAGTCAAGAGATATTACAAGCCTGCAGGGTATAATAGGCCAGGAGGTGAAATATAAGAAAGTAGACATCACTCTCCCTGTAGTCACTGACAAGTTAGCATTATACATAATCTAAACAAAATATGTAGCTAACATGTAAAGTCCTGTTCCAGATGTTGTAGAAACAAGACATTAAATTTCATCACATGAAAACTAAAATGTATTCCTTTGAATATATTTGGGTATCCTCTCACACATTATTTTGAAATTACAAAAACACTAATTTGAGCAGTACAATTACCTTGCCATTGTCCTTAAGATCATCATGAGGTAGATTGTGAGACATGTAGACAATAAATTATTATCAAAATCTCAATGTATTAAGGAGGTGAATGAAAAAATTACACACAAATATTGATTAAATAGCACAACCAAACAAGCTGGAGGTCATTTGCAGCCTTTTGAGAATTAATAGAAATAAAACCTTTTATGATTTATCACATTTGAGAGATTGATCACATAACGGAGTGAAAAAAGGGTTACGGTTGCAATGACAAGAAGTGTAACTGAAATGTTCCTAATGTATCAAAGTTGATACATGTAATGAATCAAAGTTGATATATGTAATGTATCAACACTGATACATTAGAGTTGATGTAAGATTGATCAGGTACCCTTTGATACCTGATCAACCACGCTGTGACTAATATGTCAGGCTGCGAGCAGCTGCATCAAACAGCCGGGTGGATCAGACCAGCAACCAGGAGGCTTGGTTAGAGACCGGGCCGCAGGGATCCCGATCTCTAACCTGGGATCCCTGGTTAGATTCTGGAGAAGCTCCCCGAGAATCTTCAACAGGTAGTCAACAGGTAATGAGCCAGCAACATTCAAAACAGTATGGAAATCAACTGAAGCAATGCAAGGGGTTTGAACCCTTGACTTGGGTATTCCCAAGTAATGTCATAGAGCTTGGCAGCAGCTTGTTTGCTAACCCAGCACAAAATTAGCATTAATTAATAGCAATATAGTGGAAACTCCAAAGTCAGGAATAATTTAGACAGGATCCCCTCCCCCTCCCCTCCCTTTTCCTTTCCAAATATCAAAGTAAACGAACAATCAAAGTTTTTGCTGCTTATTACTAAATAATTGGAGGTGTCCTCACCACAAAAGACAAAACACATCTTTGTGTATTTTTAAGCAAACAAAAATGATACAGTATATATGCAGTGCATCTCTAATGTCCAACTATTACAAATACAATACAATGAAAATAGCCTCAGGTCTGGGTCCAGCACACCTGCCCAGGCCCAAGAAAGCACAAAGAAAGAAGAGATGATCCATGACCCACGAGGAATAGCTGAAGATAATCAAGCGCATAAAAGTGGTTACATGTAATTTGTATCATATCATTTGTATCATAATGGAAGGAGTAATCAAGTGCTTTAACAAAGGAGAAACATTAAGCGCAAATTGCACATACGTAGACGTAGCATTGGCTAGTCCACAACTGGGATTATCATCAAGGACACGACTAAAATTTAACAGTACAGTACTAGTATTGGAAGGGTTCTCCATCACTGAAATCAACAAGTATTATTTAGTACTGTATATACATCCATACTGAATATAAAACCAATATACATACTAAACCAATTATTACACAAGCAATTACACATCCTTTCATGAAAGCTTCCACTGTTTTGGTTACTCATTAAGCATGAACTTTCCAGTAGACATTTGTAACCTGTTAATCTATTAAACACAAATTTCAAACCTATTTTATAATAATTATACTGTACATGAAAAAGCATAATACTGTATATTTATTGCATGAATCTCACCAATGACAATGTAAAATATGCCCTTTCCATTTTGTATTAAGTTCATTTATCTGTAAAAAAAAAAATAAAAAAAATTATGTATCATTTTAAATGTATTTTCTAAAGAATCAACTTAGTACCTTCAACATCTCTGATTTGTATAATACCTTGACGATGAATGTGATGAAGAACCCGAAGAATAACTTCTTGTTCGCGAAGTCTTTTTCTTTCTAGATGAACGAGGTGGAGTTTTCCGCCTAGCCCAGGGATCGGCCCAAGCTTCTGCTTCTCCGCGTGTGCCCCCTCCTGATGACACCACTTCCATGTACCGGTCATCTTGCCACACACGACTACGTACATATCTGCAGATTGTTTAAGAATTTGTCAATAGTTGCTTCAATAGCTGCTGACTTTATGAGGGCTCAGTAAGACACTTAACCTAAGACGCCTAACCCAAAATGATTTAGCAGTCATTCAGAAACCGTACGTATATACTCGTGTTAGTCAAGTGGTTAAGGTGTCCTGTACGCCAGATGCAGAGTGCTCCTGGCAGTATGGGTTCGAGTCACTTCTGGGGTGAGAGTTTTCAGTTGCATATATGCTTGGAGACCGTTCAGGCTTGTTTGCATATACTCTTAAACAAGGAAACATTCCTTTCGTAAAAATCCAGTATACTGTGTAATACCTTGTGTTGTTGTACTTACTCACTCTTTTATATTTTTTCTCTCTTTCTCTCTCTCTATCCGAGCCATCAGTTGTAGAGTTCTTTTTGCCTACCGAGAACACAAGCCAGAACCTGGCCCCCCTCAGAGTGGCACAGGCAGTGATGGCCATGAATACTCTACATTTAAAGTGTAATTAGTCTTTTCATTTGTGTGTACTGCACTTGTTTTGTGTTCGTATTTATACTAATACATATTTGTGGGGGTTGGTCTTTTCATATAATAGTTCGATTTGCTATTAAAGTACAGTATTTGGTGCACTGCCTTTTCATAATTTAAGTTGAACCAATCATGTTTTCTAATTCTGCAATTCTGTTTTAGAATAAATACTTGGCGCCTTCATCATATCTCTCTCAAAATTTGATGGGAATAAGGTATCTCAACACAAATCACTTCAAAAGTGGGAAGCTATAAACATGGCTAAGGATTTTTTTTTTAGTTAATCAGTAATCACTATTGGGAAGTTTCGTTTAACACACTTTGAATTCATAGACCCCCCACAGGAATAGTTATGTTATGATTAGCTAATGAACTATGTTGGTGTATAACCATATCCTTGGCATAAAAAAATACAAATTTGACTTAAAATTATAATTAATAACCATTTCCAGAGGCAGACATTGGGATGATAAGTAACAAATTATTTAGTATGAATTCTTACTTTCCCCTAACCACTTGGGCTAGACTGTAGATCAATGACCTCCCTTCATACAGGTTGACGATCACTCCCCGACTGTCCAAGAGGTTGAGCACCATTCTTTACCCCTGTCCCATCCCAAATCCTTGTCCCTTCCAAGGGTTATATAATAATAATGGCTTAGCACTTTCTCCTGATAGCTCCCTTCCCTTCCTTACCTTTCCTCACCGCCAGAGGTTGTTCTTGGTCTCCGTTGAACTCTCTCCGATACTTCGCGCTCAAATTTCTCTCTTCGTGATCTATCCTGACCACCACCACGCATATTGTACCTAGGATCTACATGATATCGAACTTCAAAGTTTTCAAAGTGTCCTGTAAACAAACAAAATTTTTGTTAGGTATATTATGTCTTTCAAAATTAATGGCAGATAATATACAATTATAGTGGAGTGTTGATTAGATACATGTTTAGTAACTCGAACAGAGCCCACTTTTGGTTCATTTTTAGCTCTTGGAAAATTTAGATTCCAGACTTGTCTATTAATTTAGCCAAAGATTATGATTAACAAATATTTGTCTATTTTTGTAATTAGTTATATTAAATAGTACAGTACAGTATTTAATCAATTTTTACTGTAATTTAAATTTTTTGTATACCCAAATTATTCCAATCAAAATAGAAGGCGTAATGAAATGTGGTTATTGTCTTGTATATGGAGGCAATTCCTCAGCAGTTTTCAACTAATGAAAATAGAATACTGCTCAGAAAACTTCATAAACCCAGCCCCAAATAACATCTGGCTTGAGGAACGTTAACCTATGGCATCTAAAATGGAAGACTGTGGCAAATGCAACTACAGTATGGCTAAATGAAGCCTGGAAAGCAATCTAAGTGAACACTCACACACAAATGACCTCTCTTATGGATGTGTGACAGAACTGCCTTAAACCAGCACATGGAACCAACTAGAAAAAACCCAGAACCTTATTTTCACAATGATGATTTGAAAAAATAATGATTACAAAATACTTGTTACTCAGATCACACCCTAATCAAAGTTCAGACTAGAAAGGGTAATGGATCTGCATAGCCAGTCTCGAATCCAAGCAGAGGCACTTGGAGGCAAAATCCAGCAAATTTAAATTGTTAATAATAAACTGATTAACTGGGAACAAATAAACCAAGACCTCACAGAAATAATCTGGAAAGAAGGGCTAGAAAATGCAAACCTAAACCAGTACCTCAAGAAGAGAGGCACAGCAACCCTAAGAATATGCTGAAGTCACTCACCACTAAGAAAAAAGTGAAAAAATGCAAATCAGAATGAGAATGGCATCCCCCCCAGAGGGGGAAGAAAACAATTCCCACAAATGACAAGAAAGGCTATGTAGAGAAATAGAAACGATTGAGCTAAAGCTACAGGAATCGTGTAAAATCCAAGAGAGAAAGAAAAAGAGCAATAGGCCATCAGTGAAATAAAGAGGAAACCAAAATACTTTTTGGTTATACAAACTACATCTAGCAATGGGGCCCCCCTGCACAAGGGACATGGAACTTTCACAGATGACAACATAGAAATGAGTGAAATACTGAGGATTCGGTACAGTTATGTTTTCAGTGAACCAATGTATATAGTGCACTGAAGACCAATGTTACCATAACCCCCCACTGGTAGCCATTGACAGCATGCCAATGTACTCTTCACCAAGTCCAGATTCCTGGCATTCGTTATTTACCAAGAATTGCAAAAACCCACTATTACAGGCCCTTAGCATTATTTGGAGACAGAACCTAGATCCTGGTGTTATCTCCGACATACTAAAAACGGGGAAAATCATGCCCCTCCACAAGAGGTAATAAAACAGACAATATTAAAGACCGATGGCACTAACATCTCATATCATCAAAATCTTTGAATGAGTGCTAAGAAGTAAGAACATAAAACATGTGGAACAACTTCATCTACATACATACAACCTGTCCTCTTACAATGAACGTTGCTTTTTGCTCGTATGCATTACTAAGACCAAAAATTGTTGTACTAGAAAATGGAAACAGCTCGCAAAAAGTGACGTGATATTTGTACCAAGTGACAAAAGTAAAACACTGAGTGTGCAACGTGAACTTGAACGGTAGACAAAAAGTGAAGGGGTTATGAAAGTTAAAATGAGTGGAAAGATGCAAGCACACAAGAAGAACCACCCAAAACCTTGCAACAACTGGTACACAGTCAACCCAGCCCTTGTGCATGACCAGACATTTGTTTTATAAAATCCACATAACTCTAAATTCTTGTACATATTACAATGTTGTATATAGTCAACTGTATTAAATGAGATAGGGTACTGTACAATTTATGACACTGAAAAGCTTGGGTAAACCTTTACACGAGATATACTGTATATATAAATATCATTACCAGGATATTTGTCCAGAAATCTTGGGTCGGTGATTACACATGATTGACAATTACACAAAAATACAGCACAGTACAGTATAAGGTATTTATCAAAGAAGGAAAAATCTTTCCCATTCCCCTACACATTCAAGAAAAGACAAAACCTGTTTTAATTCAAAATTATGTCAACTTACCGCCTCTAAAATGTCTGATGGCTTGTTTTTCAAATGGGTCAAGATACTGATCAATGATCTCGTCTGGCTGTTTGTATACAGGTGATGCTGGCCGTGTGTAGTAGTCATTTTCACGATCTAATTCTGCTTGACCTAAGCTGAGGTTAAATCTTTTCTCTTCAAAGTCTGCATCTGTCTCTTTACGTTTATTTGCTCGTTTCATCATCTGCATGCAAAATACGAGAAACAATAATTACTATACTACACTGTACGAAGGCAAAAATTAATAAACTTATTCAGATATAAAAAGGGTATATAAAATCTAATACTCTGTACAAAATTAAGTGTTAAATGTAACGAAACTACTTTTCTTTGAGCAACCTCGGTATCTCTCTGGTGCTTGGACTCTGGTACCACAAGATATTGACAAAATTACCAGATCTTGTATCTTGAAGATACAGGTGTATCAAACACCAGGACCAGAATCTGGCGTACTCACCGAGGTGAGGGAAGTATAAGAATTCAAGACTAAAATAAAACCAAGTAAAGCATTCCCAGAACTTACAGGTGAATCAAAACAAACTGCATATTTTCATCAGAAATAGACAAGATGGAAACAATGGAAAGGAAGCTTGCCCACTGTCAACAAATCATGCACTAATACCCAAGCACATCACCAGATGGCAGCTCAGGTCACCCAGTGGTTCCACCTATCTGCATACCTCATTAAAGGGCTGGCCCAAAATGGCCTCAATCACTACTGGAAAGACAGACATAGAAGGGCAGATATAAATGAGGAACTACCCAAAACAGCCTATAAATAGGCATTTTATCAAACTTTACACTTGATCAGGGGGTCAGCCCTCAGCTGCTCCCTGATGCACACTCTCAATGGTGCCTTTGTGAGCTAACCGGCTTCGTGCTAAACGAAACACTAATAAAAGAACACAGACAGAAGGCCGACCAGTGGAGAAAAGAAGGCAGGAATCCCAGGGCTCTTGGACAAACAGACCCAGCGAGGATGAGGAACAGTCAAAAGGTAATGGGAAGCCATTACATGGTTATATGGCTTTAAACATGGAGCCTGGATATTTGCAAGACATATTAGTAATGAAGTCAGCAAAAGCAGCATACTTGCAGACATCATGTGTATTAGGAGGCACAGATTGACCTACTTTGAAATAGGTCAATCACATTTGGTAAGCAGACTCCTCTGATACTCTTATGACCGTCATAGACTCATATAGACATTGAACCAACAATGAGCCATTATACAACTGGAGCTCCCCATACACGTCAAACCAGTCAATCAGTACACTATTCATTAAACATGCTCTGTTTCCTTCATAAAAACTCTTCAGTAACTTTCACAATATTCTCCCCAATTCATTCTAGCACTTCAGATCCTGTTTCTAGGTCAAATGACCCAACACTTCATCTCCTAACCTCATACCTAACTCAACTAAGTATCAACTAGAAATTACAGAAAACACCAGTGACTCATTATCATCCTCTTCCAGTGATATGTAATCCTTCTACCAATTATACATGATCAGTAAACCAAAAATGGTATCTGTATTATATGACCAATTAACTCAATTGGGTCCTGATAAAAAAAATATCAACCAAATCAAATGTTCTGCAACTACTGGTCCGATTGGCACAAATAATAGATCGATCACTAATAACTTTTCCACTGTAAATATATCTAATATATACACAGCAATTAGAAAAATGATCTAAAATACTAATTTAAATGCCGTACAGACCTCCTTAGCATACCGCAGCCCACGTTCCCAAGCAGATTCAAATGGTGAAGGTTCAGGAATGAAACGACGTACTTCTCTTGTCTAGGGAAAGGAAAAATTACTTTTTAGTTACATTCTAACATGAAATACATACATTTTAACATGAAAGATATCCCCTGAAAGCAATCACGGCATTACTACCTCTCCCAAATGCCACTATTATACAAGTACAGTACTGTATTTTGCATTTGTAGCCAATAGTGCACGATTGTTTTTAAATTTTGCTGATATAATTAGGAATATGGCAGGAATGAACACTCCAGCACTATGCAAGATATAAAAATAAACCTGTATTTGGGAGCCTGTGCTCATTGCATAGCAAACAGGAAGTCATGTGTGGTGCTTGGGGGTGGCCATGGACAAACCAGGTCTCACCCTTCCACTCGGCCTACCACCACCTTACCAGCAACATTTTTTGGATGGTTTGCAATGCCTCACCATTGCTGGCAATCACAGTCATATATCAAAATTTATTCAGGATATTCATTCCAACAACTTTATTGATAATTTCATTGGACAGCCCCCCTCCCCCTCCCACCACAAAATGAGAATCTGGTACTTCTGGATAAGTTGTGTCCAGAAACCATGTGGTTGTTTGAATGAATAAATTTAAAAGTAGAAAGAAATGATACTAAATAGCTCCCAGACCTAAAACCTACTACTACAGTATGAGGAGAGGTTGAAGGTGTTACACATGTTAAAACCATTGAAAAGAAAACAAGTGTTATGATAACTGTGCAATATTGTTGCATATATTAACAAAGTGATACCTGTAATGAGGAAGTTTGAAATCTGCAACATCAAAAAACAAGAAATCACTGATTAAAGCTAATAAAACTGCCAATTTTTTTTTAATTCTCTTTTTGCAAATACAGTAAATAAATATAATAATCTAAATGAGCGGGTAGTGTATGCCAAAAATCACCGGAAGCTTCAAAACTTAATGACGAAGCTTGAAGGGAGAACTGGAAAATACTAGCATAGGTCTCACCCTGTAGTAACACTTAGGTCATTACAACCCACCTTCTCTTTTTGTGCTACAGGCCAGTGTAGTTTTGGCTCAACATTAGTAGTGTACAGTCAGCTGCTTCTACCTCATGTGTTTCATTATTATGACCCACCCATTATTATGGCCTTGACACTCATCTTACACTTCCTAGTCTGAACCTTATACATTAAACACAATGGGGAGGGGGGGGGTTAATACAGTATCACACGATACTGTATACCTTGTGAACACTGTTACGGTACCCTTCGCAAGGTACTGTACAGCATTATACAATGAGAACATTGTATACAGCACTTTGAGAATGAATGTTATGTTATATCCAAAAATGTGGTTTTTTATATAAGCGTAAATTGGGTTGACCAGACCACACACTAGAAAGTGAAGGGACGACGACGTTTTGGTCCGTCCTGGACCATTCATAAGTTGATTGTGTCAAGTCACAATCGACTTGAGAATGGTCCAGGACAGACCGAAACGTCGTCGTCCCTTCACCTTCTAGTGTGTGGTTTGGTCAACATACTTTAGCCACGTTATTGTGACTCATCGCCTGCATAAATTGGGTCTTTACTACTATTTTTTTGAAGGTGAAGGAAAGAGATTAAAGTATATATATATACTGTATATTGTAACACTTGAGAAGGAAATAGGTCAGTTCAATGGATATGTACTCTTATGGCAGAAAATTGAAATGTGGAGAGGAAATTAAAAATGTGGCAGATAGCAAAAAATACCAAAAACTAAGCATGACCGAGATGCTGTGCCCTCACCCTTCCCCGCTCACTGTCCTCTTCTTTATCAGTTGAAGCTTGGGATTTGGATGGAGCAAACATATTGTAATTTCCTTTGTCTGATACTCCTGGATGCAAGAACCTACAATTGGTGCCCCATGTACACTGGCCCTTGTTGAAAAATCTGTAAAAAAAAAAAAAAAAAAAAAATTATTATTAGTTATCTTACCCGAAGGAAGCTATTTTCTTATTTTCAAGAACGTTCATGATTAATAACACCGATCATTATTTCGTGCTCTATCCCATATCAGAGTGAAATACATGCTTAGTACACAAAACCATTGTTCCCTGAAAACACACAACGAAACAGTCCCTCTTGTTACCTTGTTACGTGTTATAACATTTTTATGACATGTTAGAGCATTTTTTTGTGTTAAGATAGTTATTAGAAATTATTAGGTGTTACATCTTGTTCGAACATTGTAGCAATGTCATAGTATCATCGTATGTTGGGCGGGTTGCAATCTAACGGTGAACACTATCTGATCTATAGAATTTTAAGATATTCTATCTTAAAAACTTGTCTATTAACCTTAGTACTTCACATCTAAAAATAGGTAGATATCCTGGTGTTCATTAAAAAAAAAAAATTCTACTGTATATTGTAAGACATTGCTTACTGATGTTAGGGAGAAGTACAAACAAAATTCTACTACTTTTAGTTTGGCCATAGTGAGGTGAAAAGGTGTCGTTGATGACATTTTAAGGGATAATTTTAAGGGAAAGGGAAAGTTAATTATTTAGATCACTAAGGTCTTCCAGGCATATAAAAGTTATTGCAATTTTGTATGGCATTACTGGTTCCTAGCATGGATGTCAATCAATGGAGAGTGAGGCACTAGACATGGTGCCCATCTTTTTACTAAGGCCAAGGAAGGAAACTAAGGCTTTAATAATCTTTTCCAATATGGCAAATGGTAGCCAGATGTGTCTAGTGCTGAATGGCATCCACATAGAATCAGTGGAACCTTTGAATATTATCGTGCACATCTTGTATACAACAAGCAATTGGGGCACAGGTGCCTATCGTTAGAGGGTGGCGATAGTAGCTTAAGGGTAAATTCTATTAATATAACTATTTTACTTATTAATATAACTAAATCTGTATATATTCAAAGCAGGATGTTGAATAGCTGCATTTTCTCTATAATTTTAGTTATCAATCCCATCTACATTATCAACTGCCACAAATAATTGTAACATGTTAAAAACCATTCATATTTGTGTCATCAACAGGTTTCATAGTCAAAATAAGTGAAACTAACAAAAAAAATCTAGTGGCAACAGGACAGAACGAATGATGCACTTCTATCTGAATAAACCAGACATCAACGACTAACAGATCCTCGGGAAGAAAAAAAATTAAATGTAATGAAATGCCAGTTTCTGGGTGAGCCCCGGATGCTCCCCGACACTCTTCCTTCCCCAGGTCGGCGTTGTGTTTCTCGTTAAAGAACTGCAGACGGTCGGCCCGGTCCAGCTCCCACCAATGACGGGGGAGGTGGAGTTAACTAGCCGGGAGCAAGTTTCACTATATTTTGGTCGTTTCTTTTATTATTAGGGGAATTCTTTTAGCATTTTGGGGGTTATAGTCACATTTTTAAACCAGGTTGTGGTTTGTTTTGATTTGCCTATCTTCCTGGGTACCTGCCCTGGTGATGGCAAAGATGATATCCTTTAAATGAAAAGTGATCATAGACCGTCGCTCCCTGCGCCTCTCTGAGGCGGCCAGTTCTGGGTCGTAGTCCCTGATAGGCAAAACGAACTCCTCAACAGATGACACTAGGTGGTGTGGCACTTAATCAGTGATAATAGCATCAGGAAGCCGACAGGGCTCCCCACAGAAAAAGTTCACAAACTCAGGGTAGGTAAATTAGTACCAGTGATTTCTTCTTATGTCAACTAGATCAAAGAGTACAAGCATGCAAATGAAATGGTTGTTGAAAATACTGTAACAAAAAAATTGTCAAAATAAAAGCTGCAATGCTACTCCATTTAAGTAAAATCATTATGAAATTAATAATTAACATATACATTGCAGATTTTGAGAATATGTAATTAACTGCTCATTCAATAAGGTGTAAATTTTAAAAATTATTATGAATGTTCACTTCCTTTACCAATTACCTATGGTGCTCAATGTGACTATTGTGACTTAGTCTCAATTAATAAAACACTATATGTGCCAGTATTTATCATGCTCTACAGCACTGTTTGTAAGTTTATTAGACCAACTGACCTGCACACAGTCTTGGGTTCCTGCCGTAACAAGGATTCGTCCTCGTCTTCATCACTCAGCTCCCCATCTTCCCGGTTTTCTGGGTCGCATTTTTTCTTGCGTTTATCTCCTTCTTCACCTTGAAAGTAAAAGAAAACCTGAGTGACACACATGGAGCTCAAACTAAAAAGAGATAAACAGATTGGAAAAATAAAGTGGAGAAGAGAAACAAATCCTAATGTCAAAGATATTATCGAGGAATTTTTTGGACAAGGATCAATTTTAGAATCAATGGATTTTCTTTGTTAAATCTTTAAAAACATATAGTCTTAACAATCTGAACAGAACAACTTGGCATCAAAATTAGGAAGATAATCTATATACAACACTCAATATGGAACAAAAGCTGTTGCTTATTACGGAATGCTAAAAAGTGAGACCACACACACCTTCCTCTCCATCTTCTGCCTCCTCCTCTCCACTCTCCCTCTCAGCTTCAAAATCAAGTTCATCTCTCAATCCCAACCCTTCATCACTACGGCGCTTGGAAGTCGGCTTAGTTTGATTATTTTCTTTATCATTTCCACCTTTTCTCTTGTCTTCTATTCTTTCATCTGTGCTCGACTTTTTAACAGGGTCTTCATCATCTTCACCAAGTTCACCATTGAGCTGGAACAGTTAGTTCGATGGCCAATTAGGAATGGTGTAGATTAAAGTGTTAAGAGAGTTGTCATGTGTCCAATAGTAAGTGTAGGATATAGAAAGAGGAGATGCTAAAAAACTTTTAATACAAGTGTGAAAGAAATAGAAAGCCTTTACTGAATACTATATGTCTTTAGAAAAGAGAAAACCAAATATAAAGGTAAATAATACATAAAGAGTTTTGATACAAGCCAAAACTATATATATAAGGCACAACTGAAAACCAAAATTATTCTATGGGAAATAAACATTTGTGAAAATATTAACCACCTGGTAGGTGGGTGGGTCGAGTGTGAGGGAATGTGAAAGACAGAGTACATTTGTATATGGTTGCTGGAGGAGATTTATGAGAGAGTGCATGTAGAATGGCCATGTTGTTGGTGGTGGTTGAATATGAACTTGTGTCTAGGAAGTTGGTAAAGATAAAGGTGTGGATGGACATGGTCAAGGGTGTTGGGTTAAGGGAAATATTAGGAGATAGAAAAGTCAGCGTGGAAGATCACCGAGTAAAGATCGGAGTGTGAAGGTAGCGAGAGTGGGATTGCCAGCTACGAAATACAATCAATGCTTCACCAGATATGAAGCTAGAAAACAACAAAACAAAATCATCATAAATTGGATGAAAGGCATTTTCAGTTATAAAACCACGAAACATCTGAGGATAAAGCACGACGCGTCGGCATAAGTCAAGAACCAAGCATTGACAAGTGCCAGACGCAGCCTTGCAGAGCACCTCCAACCAGTGTAACAATATTCTCTTATTTTTTTTTTTTAAATTTTGCATAAAAATAAATAATTCTATAATGAACAATTATTTTTGGAATTTTTATATTTTTTATGCATAGGCAGGTATTACCATTTCTCCAGAGCCACTGTCTAAGGGTTAAAACTAAAAACTTATTTCAAACAATACAGTACTGTACAAACACCTGTCCCTTACCGTGGAATCCCCTTCAGATATTTCAGAAAGCCTGTCTGCTTGACCACTTTCCTTATCTTCCCCAGCTTCTACTGAAGATTGGTGATTAAATGAATCGCGATTCTGAGGACTGGCAGGATCGTCTGGATTTTTATGTTTGGAAGGGTTGACTCGATCTCTTGGACTAGATGGATTTTTAGATACATGTTGGTAATTGGGGCTCACAGGTGTATCTGTGCTTCTAGGATCTCTCAGACTCAATGGTTCCTTAGAACTTATGGGAGCTTGTAAGTTTAGTGGCCTACCTGGACTACTAGGATCTTTGGGGCTAATAGGATATCTGGGGCTACTAGAATCTCTGGAATTAATAGGATATCCAGAACTATTATGACCTTTAGGACTCCTTGGCCCTTCAGAACTCCTGGGATCTTGCAGGCTCAATGATTTATCAGGGCTTCTGGGATCTTGCAGGCTCAATGGTTTCTCAGGGCTTCTGGGATCTCTTGGAATTAATTGCTCCTTAGGGCTTATGGGATATCTTGGGCTCAAAGATCTATTTGGACTAAATGATGTATTTAAAGTTTTATGAGCTCTTGGACTTGATTGTCTGTCAGGGCTTCTAGAGTCTCTTGGACTTGCTGAGCCACCAGGGCTTCTAGGGTCTCTGGGACTTGCCGAGCCATCAGGGCTTCTAGGGTCTCTTGGACTCACTGAACCTTCAGGGCTTCTAAGGTCTCTTGGACTCACTGAACCTTCAGGGCTTCTAGGGTCTCTGGGACTCAATGAACCTTCAGGGCTTCTAGGGTCTCTGGGACTCACTGAACCTTCTGGGCTTCTAGGGTCTCTGGGACTCACCGAGCCATCAGGGCTTCTAGGGTCTCTGGGACTCACTGAACCTTCAGGGCTTCTAGGGTCTCTGGGACTCACTGAACCTTCAGGACTTCTAGGGTCTCTGGGACTCACTGAACCAACAGGGCCTCTTGGATTCTGCCGACTGAAAGAACCATATGAACTTCTATCTGCAGGGCTTATTGGAGCCCCATGACTTCTAGGATCTCTTGGGCTTGATGGGCCATCAAGATCCCTTGGGTATCTTGGACTTATTGGATATCTTGGACTTGGTGGACCATCAAGGCTTTCATGATTACTTGGACTTACTTGACCATTAGGACTTCCACGATTACTTGGACTTACTGGACCATCAGGACTTGCCGTATTTCTAGAGCTAAGTGAATCATCGGGACTTCTAATATTGTCTGGGCTCATGGGTCCTTCTGGACTTTGTGGATTCATGTGGCTTTCAGAGCTACTCTGACTCTGAGAACTCATGGGACCATCTGGGCTCATGGGACCTTCGGGACTCATAGGACCTCCAGGGCTCATAGGACCCTCAGGGCTAGTAGGATCCTGTGTGTACACAAACCCCTGAGGAATTTCTGGATTCTGCTGATGCATGAAAATTTCAGGGCTCATGGGGCCCTCTGAACTAGGAGGATTTTGAGGAGACATTGGACATGAACTGGCTGTATTCTCAGGACTCATTGGGTCATCCAGAGTTCCGGGATCACGAGGTGGCGAAGACATCGTCTCCTCCCAATCTTCACCTTGACTCTGTGAATCTGAACCATCCATGCTACTCATCTCTGAAAACCAAAAATAAAAATGAATTATATTATTTATTTTACTACAGGCAAACTTGTTTGTACCAATTGGAGTTCTGTATTTATTAAGCACCTATGAGTCATCTCATTTATTGGACTGAATCCACTACTCCACATCAAAGAAAAATGTGACTGGAAAGTGAGCTGGGCTTCAGCAAGCCAGTTGGTACAAATGTAGGTTAGTTAGGTAATTATCAGGTGAAAGTGCTAGGCTAGTACAACAATATAACACTTGGAATGGATATGAGGACAGGGAGCTGTGATTGGACAGTGGGAGGAAATCGTGTCCAACCACTTGGACCGTCAAGAATTGGGTGTTAACCTGCAAGAAGCAAAGTGTTTCTGTACCAACCAGTCCAAATAGTTTGGTCTGGTACAAATGTAGTTGTACTGGATTGCTAAAATGAACTCAAACTCAAACACGAATAAACGATACCTGATCTCTGTTGATCAGATAATGTATTACAATATAATGATGCAGATAAATGGGACATAAGCCAAGTTACGGTAATGTACTGTTAACCACTGCAATACACATAGCGCATTAAGCCCTGAATTGTACATAGTGCCTTAAGGCAATCAATCTGGGATGCGCATCGCGCCTTAATTTAAGGTATTCATATAAATATCGTAGGATTCAAAACTTCTGCGCAGTCACTTGGGTAGGAGATGGAGGCCTGAGGTCTCCAGTGAGTGTCTACCATCTAGGAAAAACAATTCCCAGCATCCCCCACAGCCATGGATAGGCTCCGTTACCAGGTAGCAACCATGTCAGACGCATCCACATTGAGCTCCCAGTCTCTGGTTGGTCGCATGAAAACACACTGATGTTGAAGTATGGGGCATATTGTTTGACGATGACTGTGCTAGTGATATTGAAGGTCCAAATCTAGAAAAAAGACCGAACACAGGTGTCTGATAGTAGAGATACGAACATTGAAGTAGACTATGTGGAGTTTGTGTACAGTACACGGCTCTCATCAGTCCTGCCAAGCTGGCCTAGGTCAACACCAGTGAATTTACCATCACCTGTGCCGTCATACGTGTCTGTACAAAGTGAGAATATAGGCAATGAGTCGTTATCTGGGTTCGGTGACATCGGCTCAGATACAAGCAACGTTGATGAACCGAGTGTAAACAACTATAGAGGTTCTGTTACTAGGCGAGGATTTGTTGCCTTAACCATACGACAAGCCAAGCACCAGCATCTCAGAAGACTTGAGGACATAGATGACAGTGTGCCCTTGACATCAGGTGTTCATGGTAGGCCTATACTATGCAGAAGAGCCGCATCTCCCGCCATGTGCAGCTCTAGTACAAGACGATAAAGCAGTGTTGTTGGCACCCATGCTGGTGGTGCTGGTGTCGGCCGTGGTGTTGGCACCATGGCAACAAGCATGGGTGTACTTGTGTGGGAGAATTATGACAATTTTGTCCCACATATACCAACATTTGATAATACTGATGTTGGTGTGACATTCATATTGCCTTATACTGACGACGATATTCCTGAAATGGAATTTTTTATGGCTTATTTCAATGAGCTATCCACGCAGCATCATGTTGTAGAGACGAATCGATACGCTGTGCAACATATTGCATCAGGAATTTTATCTTCCTCATGACATGTTGGAAGCACATGACCATTAAAGAAATGTGTGTTTTTAGTGCTGTGCATGATTATGAAACACGCAGAAGCACACGCAACGTAGACAGATGAAGCAAAAATCTGCCTGTACATGGTGCATTAAATGCAAAGTTGCCTTGTACGCCATTGACTGGCTTCAGTGATTATCACACACTCGTGCAGTACTAGAGTTTATAGTTATGTATACAGTCTGTGATATATGTGATTCAATATTTTGATGTTTTTCTTTTTAAAAAATTTCAGTTAATGTAAATAGTTCATTAACAACTGCACCACAAAGTTGTCACATGAAATAGGTGTGCAGTGCAGGGGTTAAAGAGTCTGTGCACAAAATTAATGCTATTGAAAAACTGAAATATGGGTGCGATAGCTTTTAGGTTCTTATTTATATTTTTAATTTAGAATTGTTAAACTATCACTTCAACAAAAAAAAAAAAAACTCGATAAGCCAATGAGAAGAGCAAAAATATGTTTAAATGACAGGTCTAAATTTTCTGTCACTTCATATAGTATGCACAAAAGTTAAATATCACTAATATGAAGCAGGTATATACTTAATACAAAAATTCACTAAACAAGACAATGAGTTTACTAACTACTAGTTTAATCTTCATCAATCAAATCAGAAAGTCACTGTAGTTCCAACTCTCACACTAGATGCTACAAGCCACACTACAAAGCAGACAACCACTCCCGGCCTCACTTGAGTTCTCTGCCTTAACCTCGTTTGACCTATCCACCCTCATCCTCGATCGAGCTCTCTGCTCTAACCCACCTTCGAACTCTTCAACCCCTGGGCTCCATTCAACACCTGGCCTCATTCAAGCTCTCTGCTTTGTTCAAGCTCTCCTCTTGAGGCCTCTAACGAGCTCTCCACCTCTGGCCACCATTAGCAATATGCCCTACTCAACTCCACCACCAGCACATAACAAGTATCCTCATCCCAACTTATCAGGACACCATCATACCACTTCTAACATTCAATGGTTGTAATCAAACTATATTAAATACACATAAAAACCACCATACACTGTCAATATTGTCACCCAAAATCGTATACATCACACAACATATCAAATGTTATTCCCCGGTTTCATCTTCCCCTTGTTACACCCAATTTAGATTATGCAGTTCAGTTTTAATCTTACCTCAGAAATTAGAAAATACCCTTATAAAAGAAAGATTAAGAAAGCTTAATTTACATTATCAAGAAATGGGAAAGAGTAAGAAGTGATATGATTGAGATATACAAATGGTTGAGAGGTTATAACACACAAGGACATTAACTATCTCACAATAAAACACAAAATTCATACACAGTTTCCCAAGCTTAAAAATTCAGGAATGACCTTGGTAAATACTGGTTTGGAGAGATAGGCGTTATTTTACAGAACAAATTGCCGGATAATGCTGATGTTGGATCACTGGATTGTTTCAAGCAACTGTTAGGCACATACAATATATGAATGAGTTTGGTTGGGTATAAATAGGAGCCCCTCATGTGGTCAAATTGGTCTAATGAATGAAGTTTCATTTATTCTCTTGTTGTATTTTTCTAAAGGAGACTTAATCAACCAGGTTGTGACTCATATGTCAGGCTGCAAGCAGTCGCCTGACTGACCAGACTACCAACCAGGAGGCCTGGACACAGACCAGGCTGTGGGGACATTGATCCTCGGAATCATTAACAGATAAATGACAGGTAAGCCTAACGTAATACAATTGCAGTTAAACAAAAAATTAGCCTTGTTGAAACGCTCGTGTATGATTTGACCATAATACTGAGGTTATTACGAAACACTTACAAATATGTCTAAACACCTGCAGGTGTTGCCAGACACCTGCAGGCACGGCCAGACACCTGCAGGTACGGCCAGACACCTGCAGGCACAGCCAGACACCTGCAGGCACAGCCAGACACCTGCAGGCACAGCCAGACACCTGCAGGCACAGCCAGACACCTGCAGGCACAGCCAGACACCTGCAGGCACGGCCAGACACCTGCATGTACGGCCAGACACCTGAAAGTACGGCCAGACACCTGAAAGTACGGCCAGACATCTATTGCAAGTACTGTATTGCTAGACACCTATTGCAGGTATTGCCAGACACCTATTGCAGGTATTGCCAGACACCTATTGCAGGTATTGCTAGACACCTATTGCAGGTATTGCCACACCTAGGGGCCTCGTAGCCTGGTGGATAGCGCACAGGACTCGTAATTCTGTGGCGCGGGTTCGATTCCCGCACGAGGCAGAAACAAATGGGCAAAGTTTCTTTCACCCTGAATGCCCCTGTTACATAGCAGTATATAGGTACCTGGGAGTTAGTCAGCTGTCACGGGCTGCTTCTTGGGGGTGGAGACCTGGTTGAGGACCGGGCCGCGGGGACACTAAAAAGCCCCGAAATCATCTCAAGATAATCTCAAGATAACCTAAAGCAGGTATTGCCAGACACCTATTGCAGGTATTGCCAGACACCTATTGCAGGTATTGCCAGACACCTATTGCAGGTATTGCCAGACACCTATTGCAGGTATTGCTAGACACCTATTGCAGGTATTGCTAGACACCTATTGCAGGTATTGCTAGACACCTATTGCAGGTATTGCTAGACACCTATTGCAGGTATTGCTAGACACCTATTGCAGGTATTGCTAGACACCTATTGCAGGTATTGCTAGACACCTATTGCAGGTATTGCTAGGCACCTATTGCAGGTATTGCCAGACACCTATTGCAGGTATTGCCAGACACCTATTGCAGGCATTGTTAGACACCTATTGCAGGCATTGCTAGACACCTATTGCAGGTATTGCTAGACACCTATTGCAGGTATTGCTAGACACCTATTGCAGGTATTGCTAGACACCTATTGCAGGTATTGCTAGACACCTATTGCAGGTATTGCTAGACACCTATTGCAGGTATTGCTAGACACCTATTGCAGGTATTGCTAGACACCTATTGCAGGTATTGCTAGACACCTATTGCAGGTATTGCTAGACACCTATTGCAGGTATTGCTAGACACATATTACAGGTATTGCTAGACACATATTACAGGTATTGCTACACATATTACAGGTATTGCTAGACACATATTACAGGTATTACCAGTAGGATTTTTTCAAGCTGGATGCCAGTAGCATCCAAAACGATCCCCAGATGAAACCATATTTGTTTAGGTTTGGATATACTGGGTTAATTAAGGATACATTAGGTTAGTAAGTACAGTAATTACTGTACAGTATATCAAAGGAAGGCGCCAAGCTGGGGCACCAATGTAGCATATATTAGGTTACATTAGGTCAGAATACATTAGGTTGGGTTAGGATATATATTAGTTTAGGATATATATGTGGTTGAGATATATATTAGTTTAGGATATATATGTGGTTGAGATATATATTAGGTTGGGATATATATATTAGGTTGGGATATATATTTTAGGTTAGGATATATTAGGTTCACTTAAAGACTTATAAAGATACAGAACAACCTGGTGGGGTCTGCTTTCTAACTGTCAAAACTTTATGCTGAGTTAGCTTAGGTTGGGTTATGAAGGGAGTTGTTTCTGACTGGCCATGGGGGAGGGGGCTCTTTGGAACCCTATGGTTAGACACCCTTGGATACAGGTAGACACCTGTGGGAATGGCTGGACACCTGCAGGTACGGCCGGACACCACCAGCTATTCCTCACATAACTCACGTCCAGAGAAAGTCCAACATCTCCCCCCCACCACAACACAACCTGCCCCCCTCATCAAATCTCGTGTCAATTCTGCCACAAAATAAACGCCAATCAACCCAAATAAAACTACACACTTGAACACATTGACTCTTAAAAGGCCGAAATAATCAATGTTAATATGATAAAAAGGGGAGAGAGAGAGAGAGAGAGCGAGAGAGGGGCACTATAGTTATGAGGTCTTGCCCCTCTTGCTACCTCCTCTCCCACACTCACCACACCTCCACCACCTCATATTTACCAGCAATTGGCTGTTCCCAGCGCGCCAGAACCAGGAGAAAAGCACCTTATGTGTCCCTTTTTGTGTGTGGAATAGGTGGTACATCGGGTGTGTGAGGCGAGCGTAAACAAAGTTAGGGGGCTGGAGGTCTCCCATGGCCCCTTCCCCCCCCCCCCCCCCAGGGCGACACCTGAGCGGCGCCAGGCGCATGCCGTTAGTCAACATAAATAAATAAATAAATGTTTATTCAGGTAAAGGACATACATACAAGAGGTTTTACAAAAATTAATAGATTTATAGATAGTACATACAATGCCTAAAGCCACTATTACGCAAAGCGTTTCGGCCAGGAAAAACATTAAAGACTAAAACTTAATCACTATACACATCACATCATTAATCATCATCAAAACACATCACTATACATAATATTAACCTATTAATACACATTCCTGCACGTTAATACACATTGTGACCTAAATGCATACACATTACAAAGGGAAAGGGATACATCATCCTTCCATTCATCCCATCAGCAATTGGGAGCAAATGTTATAATAATAATACATGTACGTTTAGCAAAGGTCAATATGCCTGTCTCTGATAATAATAATAATAATTATTCTCTAGTGGTGTCGACGAGGCCAGGAAGCCGGCGACTTGTCAAACGTCCATCTATTTGTTCTGATTATTTTGTTCAAGTTGGATTTTAAAATTCAACATTATTTTGGCATTTACGGATTCAGCGGGTAAGCAGTTCCATTGGGTTTATTGTTTTAAATTAATTAATTGCTTTGGGTAACAGGCAGCCAGTGTATATATTTACCTGGACAATTTACGTCAAGGCCACTATCACTAGTGTCCTAGATAAGGACAGGAAGCCGGCGGTTTGTCAAAGGTTCCCCTCCATTTGCCTTGATTATCTTTTCCAGCTGGACTTTAAAATTTAGCAGAGTTTTGGCATTTAAGGCTTCGGCGGGTAGGCGGTTCTATAGGTTTATAACTGTGGGTGAAAATTCAACTCCTGTTCTCAGTCCTACATTGTGACTTGAGATTGCAACCGTTGCTTCTTGTTTGTGTTACATCTGACCTTTTGAAGAAATTGTCCGGATCAACATCCTCCAAATTGTTCAGTGTTGTTAGTCCTGTGGCCCTTAACCATTCCTGATACCCGGGTTGACTTTTTTGATTTTTGATTTGCTCGGTGTTGCACTTTTTCCAGAGAAGCTATGTCTTTTTGAAGATGAAGTCTCCATGCTTGGATACAGTAATCCAAATGGGGGCGCAACAGAGATTTATACAATTGAATCACAACCTTATTAGAATAAATAAACGTGTAGTGTTGTGTACTGTAGTGAATCACAACCTACTTCCAAGGGTTTGGTTAGTTTTTTGACTGCTCCTCCCAACCTTTGTTGTGCAACTTTCAGTGAGTGGTGGACTTTGACTCCAAGGTCCTTTTCTTCGTCAATCTGCTGTAATGTAATGTTATTAATTTGGTAGTCTCGCAGACAGCCAAACTCCGACCGCATCGAGTTTCCACGCTTTCATCCAGCCAGGGATGTCAGTTCCAAATTGCTGAAAGTAGCGAGCTGACGGCCTAAAAGTAGCGAATTTGTAATGAGAGTAGCCCAATTTTTTTTTTAGTGAATGATATGGATTTCAAAGTAATATATTTTGATATATAGAGTACACTACAAGATAAACATGTCTCATTGAATATGACCGCATATTCAGTATTTACTATCTTCTGGTTTAGGGCTTCTATCCCTTTAACTAATTACCTAGCATCAGGGCTTAGCTGAAAAAGGAGTTCTCCAAAACTCATTTTCGATATTTCAAGGTGAAGAAAAAAAGTGAATTACTATAGAATGTATTAAACTTATTTATACAATTTGCACAACGTTTCGAACCTCCATGGTTCATTCGCAAGTGAAATTAAATTGAGAGAGAGAGAGAGAGAGAGAGAGAAGATTAAGCCACCCAAAAGGTGGCTTGGGCATGAATAGCCCATAAGTGGTGACCCTTTTGAGCCATTTCCAGTATCAATAGATGATACTGGAGATCTGTGGAGGTGCGACTGCACCCTGCATGACGGGAGATGTCTCCTGTGGAAATTAAATTACAGGACTCGTTGATTTATACCCGTACGGGGTCAAGTGATAAAGGTAAAAAGAAAGGGGATACATAGGGGATAAATGGGGGGACGAAGTACATAAGAACATAAGAATAAAGGTAACTGCAGATGGCCCATTGGCCCATACGAGGCAGCTCTTATTATACAAAGATTAATCAGGTATAATTGGCCTGTTATGTTGAACAGTGTCTTCTGTGTTGGCATCGTTAGGTTCTGGTCTTGTACTTACTAGCTTCGTGTCTTAACATCTTAATATTAGGATAATTACGTCATATCTGCATTAAAATCAGTGTGCAATTCCGGTTTTGGCCTCCACCGCCTTCTCACTTGTACTTGTTCCCTTGTAACTTGTAACTCACTTGTAACACTTAATTGTATGCTGTGCTTCCTATTTTGCCCTGCTATGTTAAATGGGATTCTTGTATTGTGATTTAATTGTGTATTTGTACTCACTGAATTTGTGCGTCCCTTGAGGGACTTGAAGTAGAAGGGAAGGGGGGGGGGGGTAGAAATAGCCTAAGCTATTCTATTTCTTTGACATGTATTTTTTTATTGTCTCAATAAACATACTTGAACTTGAAGTGGACTTTAATGTTTTTTCGGCAGCTTTATTTCCTTAGTTTCCGAGCTGTTTTCTTTACTGTGTATGTTGTAATAAACTATTCCTATATTTACAGTTGTTTCTCCCTGTGAAGATTATTAAACAATGGTGATTATAAGGGCGCGGAAGTTCAGCCTGGCCAGGGCCGCCAGCAGCCCTTGGGCCCGCCCCGGCAGCTCCCAGTCTTTAATTTGGCACCTTTGTGGCACCTTTGTGGGACCTTGGTATAAGCCTAACATGTATATATACACTGGCTGCCTGTCCCCCCTACACAATGATCTATTATTACCTATTATTTTACCATTTAATTTAAATATTAAATAAAATAATTTATTTAATTATTATAGTAAGTACTTAATAATTTAATAATAAGTAGTAAATACATAAAAATGATTAAAAAGTACAGTTTAGTCATAGGAAATTCCTAGATTGGAATTCACTACCAAATTTCAATATATCCAAGTATTTTTAGTGTGAAATGCTGTTATTATATGCATAAATTGTTGTTTTAATAATATTACGCTTAACCACTTGGGCTGGACGGTAGAGCGACGGCCTCGTTTCCTACAGGTCCGCGTTCAATCCCCGACCGCCCAAGAGGTTGTGCACCATTCCTTTCCCCAGTTCCATCCCAAATCCGTATCCTGATCCCTTATGAGTGCTATATAGTCTAATGGCTTGGCGCTTTCACTTGATAGTTTCCCCACCCAAATAATAATATTACGAGAGCAGTATTTACGGGCTATTCATGCCCGTGCTACCTCTAGGGGGGCTTAATCTTCATCAATCGAGAGCAGCAGTGCGGTCTGCTGCATGATGCGAGGAGGACGTGTTGCTCCGCATCTTCGTGTTTGCACGTGGCTGCTGCAGCTAGATGTTGTGAATTTGTTCTCGACTGTTGCAGTGATACAGTGCCTTTGTGTATCGAGGAAATGGCTGAGGCGGTCTGCCTAGGTGATGGAAGATCCTGTACTGGGCCTGGAGAGTGTGACAGTGGGGATGGCAGACAGGATGATACTAGGCCGTATCAAGCAGTAGTAAACAGATATAAACGGAGAAATATTCAAAGACAGCGAGACGAAGACAGTGAGGAGGAAATAACAAAGAGACCAAAAAATGAAGACATGCTCAGCAGGACGCGGGAGATGCAGACTAATGGAAGGAAGAGGCTGTTGTTCCCTACAGCATGTCAACTGAATTTCCATCAAAAGCTGGAGTGGACGGTTCGTTTGGCTAAGGAGTTTTTTGAATATGAACCACTATTCAAGGAGGGTCTTCACCGGCCCTATATAACAGTTGGGACAGAGGAGGCCGTGGAACACCTAACGAAGGATGGGTTTGAGAATATTGTGATGGTTACTCCGGAAAAAGGTATGATGTACACCAAGGTCATAGTGTTTAAGTATCCAACTTATTTGGATCCTGATTATCTATTGCTCAACAATGATAGTGTTGTTTGGGCAAAGAGGAACAGTGTTCGTGGTGAAAAACAAAGCCAGGTTGTTGCCTTGGTAAAGGGTGAGGCTCCAGAAAGAATTTTTGTGCAAGGACTAGGCTACAGGAAAGTTGTAAAATACATTGAGGAGCCCATATTATGCATGAAGTGTTCTCGTTGGGGACATATGGCTTGGAAATGCCAGTTTGACTCCAGGTGTCGGTACTGTGGTAAGAAACACGACTCTCGAGAGTGTAGAGTCAAGATTAAAAACGGTGAAAAAATCGTCCCATCTTGTTGCAATTGTCGAGGAAGCCACAATGCTGGTTCCTATCTATGTCGCATGAAGCCTCATCTGAGAGACTCGAGGACGGGTGCTACAAGCAGGATAGATGTATCCTCGAAGGAAGGAAAGATTGTGCAGCAGGAACATGGAGGAAACAGTTGGAAGCCAATGACAGCGCCTATGAACAATGTGTGGGAGAAAGGAACAGAGACAATTAAGGCGAGCCTAGGGAAAGTAGGAAATGCAGCTGAAAAAATTAAACCTTGTGGAAACAAGGTTCAGGTCAATATAGTGAACTCTGAGGTTGGTACTCAAATATTGGAATATCTAAAAAAACTAGAAAAGAGGATTGAGGCATTAGAAAAATTAACTATGGGGGGTAGACGGGGTGAAGATGGTGGTGAAACAGGACGTGAAGTGGAAAGTGAAACAGGACGTGAAATGGAAAGTGAAACAGGACGTGAAATGGAAAGTGAAACAGGACGTGAAATGGAAAGCCAAACAGGACGTGAAATGGAAAGCCAAACAGGACGTGAAATGAAAAGCCAAACAGGACGTGAAATGGAAAGTGAAACAGGACGTGAAATGGAAAGTGAAACAGGACGTGAAATGGAAAGCCAAACAGGACGTGAAATGGAAAGCCAAACAGGACGTGAAATGGAAAGCCAAACAGGACGTGAAATGAAAAGCCAAACAGGACGTGAAATG